CTCAGTAAAGACGAGACCTGGGAGGTGTGCAGACCAGGGACTCCAGCCCACTTATGCCATGGAGTAGCTGGGGCAATGGCTCACCCTTTCCAGCCTCACTCTCCCCATTTGTAACTTCAGCGTGGGGGCGGAGGCTTGCAGCTTCGAAGCTTGTTTGTTGACCTTTGGAAGGTTGAGCCACCTTCAAAGGGGTGCGAGGCACCCCTTTCCTCTCACACTGGGAGCTGGACCTCTGATGTCAGTTACTGACTCAAATTCATCAAACATAAACAAATTGTCTATGTAAATTCATCGATGGGAACTACGACTTGCTTCTGACTGATGGAATTTGGCAAAGATGCTGGGAAGTCATTTCCTTGATTAGATTACATCATACAAGGCTCCCTCTTAGGGGACTGGAAATTCTCATTGCTGGCTTGAACTGAGCTGCCATTCTGGGGAGGTCCATGTGGCCAGCCTCTGGGGTGGCTTCCAGCTGACAGCCCACAGAATCTGGGGCCCTCAGTCGGAGCGGGAGGGCAAAGAGGAGGGTCAGCAGGGGCCAGTCCTCAGAATCCTTGTGCAAAACAGCATCGGTGTCCCCATGTACAGAAGTGAAACAGGGTTCTATTTTAGAACACAGATTTATTTTCTGAAATGTCTTTCTTGATTCCATGTCTGGCCCAGACACACCAGACTCAGCCAACACTGAGGGCGGGGACTCTGCAGCCTGTGGGTGGGTCTGTCTGCACTCACTGTGACTAAGAAGGTCTGCAGGGAGAAAGGGGGCGCGGGGGGCAGTTCTCTCACACCAGCCCCTGCATCAGGAGGACTTTCAGCAGAGGTGGAAGGGCCACCCTGACCTTTGCAGCGCCCCTAATCATCAGCATGGAACGAGGGGCCCAGTGGCTGGGTCCTTAGCCTCAACTACAGATGTTTCTTCCCCTTTCCTCCTCTGGACCCTGAACTCCTCATTTCCAAATCCTTCCTTCCCAGGACCTGTGTCTTGTTCTCTTCATCTCGCTGAGGGAAGGTCTGGTCCTCGATCTCTGATCTTGTCCCACACGCCTGAAAATTGAGGGGCTTGCTTTCCCACCAGTTCTGTAATTTGCTGACTGCCTCTCAGAGGCACCCAAAGTGTGAGGTGTTGATTGCTCAGTCATGTCTGAGTCTTTGCGACCCCATGGACTGTAGCCTGCCAGGCTCCTCTGTCCATGGGATTCTCCAGTCAAGAATACTGGAGTGGGTAGCCATTCCCTTCTCTGGGGGATCTTCCCAATCCAGGCATCGAACCCGGGTTTCTTGCATAGCAGGCAGATTCTTTACTGTCTGAGCCTCAGTGAAGCCCAAGGGCAACCAGGTCTCCTCGTATTTCCACCTAAGCTGTGCCCCAAGGCTGCCTACCTCCAGGGAGGGACTAGAACTCTGCTGGGAAAGACTCCACACTCGGGCCTTGCAAGTACTAATCCAAACAAGCCCCTTGGATCCGTCTCCACTGCATCTCTCCCCCAAGAGTGAGTTAGACCAGGCTGATGCCGTAACCACATATGCAGCTGGGAGACTGGCGAGCGACTGTACATATGAGCCTGAAGTACAGCCACACAGGAGGGTGTGAGGTCAAGTAACACAGTGATGGAGACCCTGCTGACCACTGGTTTACAGGGCAGAGTCGTGTTCCTGCTTCTCCGGAGTCCTAGAGCCACTATGTGACCCGTCCCCAGTGTAGACGGGAGCTATGGCAAGTCACTGCTATGGGGGGGTGGGGGTGGGGGCTGGGATGCTCTTGATGGTCTGATGACTCGGACCCTGCTCATATGAAGCAGCTAGAAACCAGAGAAGCGAAGTTTCAAAGCACGAGGCTCCTCACGGAAGAGGCAACACACAGGTCAGCTGCACATCGCAGTCAGTCCTAGAAGGTCACATCCGTCTCCCGTGTGGATGGGTGTGCTTTCACTCTGACTGTGTCTGCTAGGCTGCCATTTCCAGGTGGGAAATACAACCAAGATGAATATGATGCCCTGTTTTAACCAATCGAGACGTTCCAAATTCCCTTACCCCGACTAAAGGGGCACAGTGGCCTCTCAAGTTTTCCGGCAAAAACTGGCTACAGTGAAAGGTGTTTTGAAAGGACTCTCAAAGGTTTTTAAGAGACCGTTAGTGTTGAACTTTAAAAAAATTGCCCTTCATCAAGAATCAATTTACCTAGAAGTTCAAGTCTCTTCTGCATCCTTTTCAAAATCCTGAAAGCGGGGTGGATGGGTGGGTGGCGAGTAACAGTGGTTTCAGGAAAAGGGCTTCATAATGGTGAAAGAAATCTTTTCTAAATAGGCTTATTCAAAAAGCAAGCCTGGAAGTGACCAAAACCAAGGAAGTCTGCAAAATGGATTTCTTTCCCAGGGAGAGAGTCCCAAGTTTTATAACCAGAGGGTATTTTGTGATTATTGTATTTTCCTCACATGATTATAAGCTGGAGTGAGGCTGGAAACCCTGGAGGGTCCTGACCACAAAGTGCCAATAGTCCAGTCACCTGTTGGGGCCGGATGCCAAACTCAAAGGGGCTCCACGATGCCAGACCCATCTACTTCCCACTTCGCAGATTCCCAGAGGGGATGAGAAGCTGACAGAACTGGGGTACAATCCCTCCCCTCCCCAAACGAACAGAACATTCACTTGGGGAACTCAAGTGTGATGCTTGCTTTTAAAGTTTATTGACAACTGTTTGGTCCCAACACACAAAACAGCACTTGAACCACAAAAGAAGTGTTCAAACAAAGTAGACAGTTGAGAAAAACATCTCTTCCCCCCAAATTAATTCAAAACAAACAGTGCAAGATGGGAAAGGGGGTTTTGGTGATAACTTTTTTTTTTAAACAGATAAATCTGATATATTCTTTCCACCCAGAAATAAAGTATTTCATTGTCTTAATTCTCATACGTCATTTTGTCACATCAATTAAGCCTCTAGATAAAAAAATAGATAGCAACTGGACTGGCCGTTGTGGAGTACATTACGGACACCATGAGCTTTGCACATCTTCAAACGGTGACTGTTAAAGAGTCATGCACCCGTCCCAGGCTCCTGGCGACTCCAGTGAACGGTTCGACCACACCCACACAACAGCGCACAACTCATCTCTTCTTTGTCTGATGCCCAAAGAAGCTGCTCTTTGAGGCTGTTCCAAGTGACTTGTAATGGTGCCTTGGGCATTTTTAAAGTCCACTTTCTCTACCTTCAAGCAAAACTAAAGTCCACATGTGCAAATTCAGCCTTACAAAATCTTAGAATAAGGCCACTGATGTTCTCAACACCACCTTCATCATAATGTTTAAAAAGCTTTCTAAAAAAAAGTGCACCTCTGCATTTCACTGACTGTCACACTATGTCTGTAGAGAACATGCCTTCAGGAAGACTGAGCGCCACGGTGCCTACAAGGCTTTCCCAGGCCCGCTCCATCCTGGTCGGGGCTGTGTGCTGAGAACTGGGACTCGTTGGCTTCATTGAAAAGATTTGGGGAACAAAAAGTCTTACTTGTAAAAAATCTCTCAATAGCCCTTATTTTGTGGCATTTTATCAAAATGCTGGCTATGAAATCAGAGCCCATTTTCTGGCTTTCTAGAAGTTACAAAATAGAATCATTTCCCCAAAAGAAACCATCTAACTAGTGGAAGACCTTATGCCAACAGGTTTTTTGCTGCTCTATGAATGAATCCGCCTTTTTGCCCAACAAATACAACCCATTGTAAATGTCAGGTTTCTCCAGGAGGCGTAAGAGGCCGCCAGTCACCGGATGCCTCAGCCACCTCAAGGCGAAGGTCACTCCACAGGGCAGTGCTCCCTCAAAGGCTGGCTTTCCATAAATGCCAACATCAGACACCACACACACAAAAAAAAACCCAAACATGCTTCCTACAGCGAGAAGTAACAGTAAAAGCAGACGCTATTAAAAGACACTGAGTTAACAAACACATAGTCACATGCACACAAAGCTTCCCAGCTATCAAAACCAGCTTTAAAATTACAAATACAAGGTTAAGTTGATCAACCTTGGCCTTCCTATGTATAGATAGAATTTCTGCCTCTTCCTAGTGGAAAGAGCATCGATACCGTTCCTGTCAAAAGCACCTCCCTCCTCGCCTCTGATTTATAATTTATGCATTTGATGCATATTCTAGAAAATCAGACTCTCTTCCCAATGCTGCCTCTTGACACACAATAATGTGTGTTGGAATTCAAATGCTGACTATAAATTCATGACACCAAGACCATCTTCTTTTCCTTAACCTAATCCATGTCAAACTGGAACTTAACATAAAAGGGAAGCTTAAGACATCCTTGACTTTCTAGAAAGCTCAATGGAACCCCAAAGTGGAAACATTTTTTAAAAATTTGAGATGAAGCCATATTTGTCAACTACAGACATAGCTAAATAAAAAAACAAGGCACACTTACAAGTCACATGGAAGCCAGGAGCCTTTGCATCCAACCAGGACATACACTCCTCCTGCCTTGCCCACCCTCTTCAGTGAGTGATCACGCAGGATCACCAAACAGACTTTTGCTTCATCATCATCTCATGCATTTGATTAATACTGTCTGAACACATCAGTAAACACAGGCTTAGAGACTACGTTATGCTACATGTAAGATTTTACCACTGGCGTGGCTTGATGGAAGTAAGACCACTTCCTTCGAGCTGAGTTCTCCCTGCTGTCTTCTTACGGAACACCATTCATTATACTTTATAATAATTAAGAAAAATTTGTTAAAATATATTAAGGATTCTTTAACAAATGCCAGGGTATTTTTTTTCCCAAACAAGTGGGGGAGAAAAAGAAAAGAAAGAAAAACCTCAGCTTAAAGCCGCATTCAATGTAAAAGAAACAAAACATACAGAACATGTCTAAAGATGAAGTAAGTGGCTTCTAGGGGGAAAACAGAAAAGGTTGTGTTTTTTGAACCTGCTTTTGTGTGCAGAATCAGACAGTGTTTTCCCATCCTAATTCTATGTTCAAAACGAGACTCAAAGCTTGGTTATAGGTGCAAAGGAAAAGTTGGCTGCCAATTTTACTCTATTTTTGGGTTGCTTTTTGGCTGGGCTTTCCATGGGGTCCTTGCTGAGCAGCGACTCTGGGGTTTCCGAGGAGGGGCTGGGAGGCGCTGGGACAGCTGCCAACACGCCGGGTGAGCTCGGATCAGGGGGCAGGTTTTCGTTCTTTATTGGTACTGGAATTTCAATTTTCTCTTCTTGGTTTAAAATCATAATTTCTGTAAACACAGGAAAGCAAAACACATTCAGCTCTGGGACCTGCCAGCAGTGCTGTTTTTCAGCTCCTCTCATTCCTCAAAAATTAATCCCCGATCGTCACACACATGCTCTAATTCACACCTTAGCTCTGCGGCCAATACCAGGTATCACTTAAGTCAAGTATTTAAAAACCACGTCTCTGCTCTTCCTTGAATAACAAAACTTCAGAGACTGTCATTTTGGGCTACAAGTCAACAAGCTGTCCGCGATTTAAAAATACTTTTTTCTGCTTTCTCTGCCCATTCATTCTCTGTCAGGTAGTGGAGGACCCAGAAAGCCACATGCGACCTAAAGACTTTCAGACCAAAAGGGCCCTGGTACATCCCCCTGCTCTCAAGGGATTAAGGTGGGGGAGGGAGGCGCACGGGCAGGCAGAGATAAGGCAAGAACCACACAGAGTCAGAAGTACCCTCAGAAAGCCAGGAGGAGGGACCTCCTGGGGGTCCAGTGGTTGAGAACCCCCCTGGCGCTGCAGGGGACGCAGCTCTGACCCCTGCTCGGGGAGCTGGGATCTCACAGGTCGTGGAGCTCCTGAGCCCGGGCACCGCAACTAGAGTCCGGGCGCCACACTGGAGGGTCCCGCACGATGCAGTGACGATCCCGCGTGCCTCAACTAAGACCCGACACAGCCAAATAAATACACCAACATGTATTTTTCAAATTCCAGGAAGAGAAGCAGCCCGGTTTTTCTGCAGCGCCCACAGACTGTCTTTCTCTGGTTGAGCCACAAGTACCGATGATTAGCCCGCTGTGTGGACAGAGCCATGCCACTTGGAAGAGATGTGTCCTGCACCTCGGGCTCCCACTGCGTGTGCAAGGGGCTCCCACACCGAAGGTTCACAGAGGCCCAGAGTGACAGCAGGGACGCAGAGCCTCGGCTCAGCTCTCAGGCTGACACTCTCGGGGAGAAATGATGGACAGACCTGCCAACACCACTTAAGATTATTTCTCTCCCCATCACACGGGGATGGCTGAACTCAGTACACTATACACACCAAGGTTACACCCACGGAAGAGCTACCATCAATTTCCTATCAAGTCTACGCTTGTAGGGACACCACCCCTGCCGTCGCCACAGCCCAGGTCCACCCAGCAGCCAGGAAGGTTCACGTCTCCCTACCCATCTTCCAGACAAACAGCCTCTTTCAGGTTCTTTCTCTGGGAGACGGGGCCAGAGGCTGGTAAGAAGATTGAGGCCTGTGGTCAGCAGCGTCAGCAGAGCAGGGAAGGACCCCTCATGACAGAGGAGACGATGGGGAAAGGCCCTCCTCGGACACAGCAGGCGGGCCAGCCTCTCGGGGGCCGGCAATACGGCACGAAGAGGAGAGACCGGGGCTCCAGTCCTGGCTCTGCCCCTTCCTGGCCGGCCAGCCTGGGGCCCGGGCCACCTCTGGCTGTGGCACAAGCTGGGCTTCAAGACGCAGATGTCCCCTCCCTCCCCTACTCACAGCCCCCTGGAGCCCCAGGACCCTGAGACCTTCAGCTCATGTCTGGTGACGGGCGGGGGTTGCGCCTGGAGCTGCTGTGCTTTACAAAGTGGGGAGCACAGCCCAGGAGGCCCCCACGTGCTGCTCCGTGGGCGCCCCCTCCAGCCCAGCTGCAGTGACCTCAAGACCACTGTCGTGCCCTGGCCTGCTGCTTCGCCAGCACCTCAGGCTGTGAGCCCAGCCCCGCAGGAAAGCTGACAGGAAAAGGGTCTGGAATAATCCTCACAGGTATTTTGTGCCTGAAAAGGTAGAGTCGCTCCCTACTTGCATCAAGCAGTTAACATCTTGCCGTGAAGTGCTGGCTGTTTGACTAAAGCCACAGAGAACCCGCCCCACAGTGACACAGAGTCTCCTACCTGAAGGCTCCTGAGGATGCTCCTCAAACCAGATGAGATCGGCAGCCTGGAGGACCACGGGATCCGGCCTCAGCTGCGGGGATGGCAGGCAGGAGGGGACGGGCGCGCACAGGAGGTCCACCGGGGAGTCGTTGGTCAGGCGCAGGAGCTCCTGCTCCGCAGGATGGGGCCCTGGGGGAAGGCGGGCGGGGGCGGGAGGGGGGCTGCTCAGGATGAGGCAGCTGCAGCCCACGCCTGAGGCTCGCCTTCTCCCTGACTCCCTGAGGTCAAGGAAGTACTCAAGAATGCAAGGTTAAAAAAAAAAAAACCCATTAACAGAAAGGTCTGAGTCCTCTCTTTGGTAAGTGAAATGCTGCAGCCAGGACCGCCGGATTTGTGTTCTCATGAACAGCAAAGGACAATTAAAAAGCCCATAGCAAGCACTTGAAAGGCACAAACATTCAGAATTAGAGGACTTGGGTCCCAGTTCTGTCGCTGCCTCACTGCGCGCTCTCAGGTAAGCAGCTACTTCTGCTTAACCAAGTCTTGGTTAGAATGGAGGTGACCGCTGAAGGCTGTGCTGACAGCCTGAGAGGACGCGCTACATCCAGGTGCTTTGTAGAATTGTAAACCACTACAGGGCTGATCACCCGATCAACACAGGGCACAGCAGCGCTTGTAACTATTTAAAGCGACTCGCAGAGCCCTAAGATAAAGTGGCAATGGGCGCACAAGTCAAGGGAGCTGATCCCCACCTCGTCCACAGAAAGTGCCACATACAGTCAGGCCTCGAGGATACTCTTCAGTAACACTAGTGTGTTCCTGTCAACTCTTTCCCAGGGAAGTCCTATGACCCAGACTCCCTGACACTACTTCAGTCAGGGGTCAGGTTCCGTGGCCCCCTTCCCCGCCAGCCCCTGACCTTAGCCTTCTGTGTCCTTGCCCTGTCCACTCTTGGCAAGAATCTTGGGAAGTCAGTTTAGAGGAATCCCCTCATCCTTGGTATCTCATCAAGCTCCTCATCCCACCCAACCCCAACCTTTGGGGTCTAAGAACCCTCTCAGGTCGGCCGGAATCCCCGGAGCCTGACAGCTTCTCTTGGGAGTTTCCTGGTCACCGACGCCCTGGCTCTGCTCCTTGACTGTCAGCATCACTGGTCCTTGCCTGAAGAGCTAAGCTCCACCTCCCTTCGCGAGGGCAGCAGAGCTGATCCCACTGCAGCTGCCTTCTAATATTTTAACGAGCGTCAGAGTCGCTTTAACATCTGAACAGGTCTGCCACACTGTCGTGACAGGGGCTCCCAACGGCCTTCAAGAGCCTTAACTGGTCGGCCATCAAATGCGGGCCAGTTTTCTCTGTTATTAACCAAACACCAGGCTCCTTTGGGAAATGTACCAACACTTCCCTTTAAAGAATGAAGATGGCCCTGCATGTCGTCCTTTCCCCTGACCCACTCTGACTCCACCCCAAGCCCTGTCCTGGAAACGTCACCAGCTTTGGTTTTCCCTCTCTCACCGTCGCCACCCACTCCGAGTCTGAGTTCCGAGGCCGGGGGAGACTCGGGCACCTCCAGGATGCGCTCGGGAGCTGAGGGCTGGGTCTCGTGACTGGCAGGGGGAAGACCGAGGGAACTCATGCGACCTGGAGGACAGAAAACACCCATCAGAGGGGGAGCAGGTGAGAGACCAGGGCTTGTGAAGGGGGCAGGGATGCGGCGTACTTACTTTTCATGTCATTTTTTAACACTACAATTCTCTTATGACCATGTCCTTTTATCCAGACCACCTGCACACAAGACATACTATTGGTTATGAAGTGAAAAAGGAGGGGAAATAAACTCTAAAGTTATATGTTTGGTAACATACTTAAACATACTAGGATTTAAAAAGTAATGCCACAAAAAATTGTTCAGCACTTTGTTTTAAAGCAACAGAAGATGGAGACACACGCCCCTTATAAAAAGCTGTGTAGTCTTATAAATCATGAGATTCAGTTTCACTCCTTGTGGCTCTAAAGACATCACCTCCCAAATACCAGCTCTGGTATATAAATGAAGTCGGTTCTCACATGGGAGCTCTGACCAGCTTCTCCAGATACTATGTTTACCTTAAAAAGAATGAATGGCTACCCCATGCCCCTCAACCTAAAGCTCACTAAACCTAAAACAAAGACCCCTACCTAATCACGCTGCCCCCGCCTCTGCCAAGAAAGGGGCGGCAGTGGCCCGTGGTTCCCAGCGCTTCCCCTCACGTGCCTCTGTCACCAAGTCCCTCACCTCGGCTCTCCAGCTGTCCCAACCTCGTGTCCTTTCCCACTTCAAATGTCAGGCTCCTCCTCCCCTTCTGGTTCTCTCCACTCCTCCACGGACAGCAACCCCAGGCTCCTGCCCTCTCCCCACAGAGTCCCCGCCTCCATAACTGAGGCACCCACTGCTCCCCCACAACTTCTCACTGCTCTGCACCTGCTCACAATGCCCACCCCTCCCCTCTTCATCACATGGTTAATCAGCTTCTGCACATAGTGAGGACTCTGCTCTGGGATCCCTGGGCCTGGGGGTGGGCCCATGCCTGGTCCTCCTCTGATGATTTTTACAAAGGTTTGCAGAATGAAGAAGAAACACTAAAATCATTCTTTTTTTCGGCCAACAGTATGTATGTTGGTTCAAAATGCCTGCCTTTTCATTCTGTCCAAGAGAGGACACCCTTCAAGAAACTCAGAAAACACCCACCTGCGGGATGGCTCCCAACAGCTCCTCCACACTACCGAAGCCGTATGTCTTGGGCTGCAGTGTTTCTCCGACATACTTGGTATAGGCCATGGAAAATTCATGAAGGAAAAGCTGCTGGTAGTGGTAAGTATGAAGCAAAGACCGAACGTTCTTGGCAAACAAATAGAGACTTGTGAGCTTCACGCACTCCTCTGTCTTGTCATTAGTAAAAACCTGGTCCAGGAGAAAACAGCAGTGTTAGAAACTTCTAGAGTGACAGGTCCTGCCTCCTGGGAGAGAGGGTCTCTGAGAGTGAGGAGAGATGCCAAGTCAAACTTGAAAATGGGTCACAGGCCAGGGAGGAGGGGAGCCTGATTCAAGGATCTCCTCCAAGAGAGGACTATAGCCTTGAGCAAACTCTAATTCTGTCTGCAGGTCTCCGGCAGCAGACGTCTGAAGAAATGGTATGTTGGAAAGCATGGAAACTGGTAAACTCAATGAAAGGAGGCAGTGAAGAGGGAGAGCGGACCCGCAGAACAGAGCGGCAGCGGACAGTGGGGACTGAGGCCACCCACCCTCATCTCCCCAGGGACCCTGGGATGCGGGGTGATGACTTCAGTGTCCTTTAAAGAACAAAAGCACAAAACTCTTCTGTCCTCAAGAAAGTAAATAAATCTCTTTACATAAGACTTTCAGTCTTTAACCTGCCCTCCCTGAGTATCTCTGAGAAGGGATCTTTCCCAGCCTTAGCTGGCCAGGGAAAGCCTTTTGTCCTGGAATGTCATATAACTAGTGTTCATACATTAGTTCACACTTGTTCTGATGTGTGTGCTCAGTCATGTCCAACCCTTTTGTGACCCCTTGGACTGTAGCCCACCAGGTTCCTCTGTCCACGGAATTCTGCAGGCAAGAGCGGGTTGCCATTTCCTACTCTAGGGGAGCTTCCTGACCCAGGAATTGAACCCACCTCTCTTGCCTTTCCTGAACTAACAGGCTGATTCTTTACCGTGAGCGCCACCTGGGAAGGCCTAGGTGTCCTTTCCAGATAGGAAATTCACAAGAGTGGGATTTACGGCCATGGGGGCTGAGAGGGACACCCAGAGCAGGGGGAATTCTTGTCAAACTGACCTAACAGAAATCTTGCAGAAGGCAGGCTAGGATGATCAAATAACAATGGCGGGACGTTCTCTCCACACTGGGCGAGCAGGCTCACCGGGTATGGTCTAGAGGGTGGTCAGGGAGCCTGATTAATGTTTGCAGGAGGAGAGAGCTTTTAAATCAGTTATCAACTGCGTGGTTATACGGCAACAATCCTTTCTTACATTGCTGATTTAGTTAATATCCTAGTTAGAAACAATTTCTTCGGAGGGACTGTATTAGGTTTCTGGTATTAAAGTTACTTTAGGTTCATAAAAGAAGTGGTGTGCTTCCTTTTTTTTTTTCTAGGTGCCCTAGAAGAGGTTTTTAAAAAGTTGGGAGTTATTTGTTCTTTAGGTGAGCTGACACTCAGTTCTTAACCCATCTAGTTCTGGTGCCTTTGGGGTTTTGGGGGTTTTTTTTGGCCATACCACGGGGCATGCAAGCATCATACTTTTCCTGAGCACACCGCCTGCAGTGGAAGCTCAGAGCCCTAACCACTGGACTGCCAGGGAAGTCCCCCTGGTGCCTTTTGTCAGTAGTAAAATTTCAGTGATCTTCAGTCTTGAAAATCCGTGTTAATTGGTCTAAGTTTTAACTTCTTAAAAATCTGGAGTCAATTTTATCTTTTTACTGGGATCTTACTTATTTCTCCTAGGAAATAAGTGACCACCTGGTGACCATCCAGTCAATCTTCCTTTCTGACCTGCATCTGACTGGGAAGTGACCTGAAGCTATCACATAAGCCATCTAATTCAGAAAGAGATGACAGAAGCAACATCCAGCCCAGCACAGGAAAAAGGCACCTCAGTCCAAGGATCCAGAGGCTGGGGCTCTCGTCCCGGCTTGTCACTTGCTTGGGCAGGATGCCTGCACCTGCCAAGGCCTCTGCTCATCTATAAAACCACCGATCAGTCTGATCTGGACCATTTCGTGATTGAGAAATACCCAATAGAGTCATTTTCATTATGGTAGTTCCGAATCATTACCATTCATACCTCAACTAAGTAAGGCAGACTCTTCAGAAGTTCGGTCAAGGTCATGAACCCATATTCACAGGGGTTGAGAGGAGTGCTGTGGGTGCTTTCATAGTGTCTCTTGAGCTCATCGACAGAAAGATGGGTGGTTCCCTCCCAAGACATCAACAACACTAGCAGCTGGGCAGTGAGAGCACGCAGAGACTTGCGGTTGATCAGCTGAATCTGTTTGCCAGATTCCATATCAGCAACCTGGGGAAACAAGAACGCACTCTTCAGGACTCAGAGATGGCCTGAGTCACACCCTGCTCATCTAGTTTCAGACTGGCAAGTGAGAACATCAGAGAAAGATCTGTTTTTCTGCAAAAATGAAGTACAGTGAATGGGTTTGCTCCAAGTTCTTGGGGACCCCAGATCAATACTATGGACCAGCTGCAGCAGAACCTGTTCTCTCCTGCTCTGCTAGGCCATAACCGGAAACACCCACGGACACCACCACTCCTCCAAGAGAAGAGGAGGCCAGCCCGCTGACACCCACTAGCACAAGGTTATGGATTAAGGGTTGGTGTTCTCAGGGAGCAGGGGCTGGTGAGACTGCAGTGACCCTCCACAGAGCTGCTCTGCACGCGACTCGCCCCAAGGGTGTGTCCCAGGGACTGGACACAGGAGGTGACAGAAGGCCTTCTCTGTCCAAAGGCAAGCAGCATTCCTCTAGTGCATCAGTGATGGAAAAACAGCTGGTGCCTTCACGTCTGACTGGATGTCTACTTCACAATTTTTTTTCAGATTCTCAAGGAGATAAAAGGGTTTAACTGATTCACTGCACAGGGAGGGACACCTTGTGAAAGAGACACAGGTTATCACTTGGGGACCAAACAGCATGTGAAGAAATAGGCATCTGGTGACTGAGACCTGCAGGCCTTGGTCAGGGGGCGAGTCTGTGACGTGAGCCATGCCTGGAGTGAAAGCAGGCAGAGCTCCAGGACACACACTGCTTAGGCACGGGCAGGCGAACCATTGCCCACCGTTCTGGCTGTTTGCCCCTTTAGCCGACTTCCAGCCAGCACCATGGTCAAGATCAGGGGCACTGGCCCCTCAGAGGCAGAGCATGGGGACAGCACGTGGTGAGCCCGTCCAATACCAGTGTATCTTTGGTGCTGACGCCCACCCAGAGACAGGGCAGGAGGCTGGTGGGTGGACTCTGACTCCACTCACTGTGGTTATGGATTCAGATTCAGAACTGAAGATTGCCTCAGCAGACCAGGGTTTAATCAGTCAACAGATCCAGGTCCAGTGGACTCAGTTATCTTCTCAGATTATCTGCCCAGATCATTAGTAAGGATTCTTGACCTAGGCTACACCCTGGAATCACCTGGTGAGTTTATAAAAAATGCCAAGGCTCAAAACACACCTGGCCTCATTCTCTAAGAATGAGAGGCCTTGGCGTTTCCCAGAAGCCCCCAGGAGACCGCAGGGCACAGCTGGGGCGGTGCTGGAGCTGGTGCCATCTTCCCCGGCTTCACCGCTCACACCCGATGCCCCAGCTGCTGGCCCTCCTTCATCATGGGTGGTGGTCATGGCCTAGGGTCTTCGGTCCACTGAACACCACGACTGCCATTGTCCTGAGCAGATGAACACTTGGGGGCCTGTCTCACAACAGGGCTTTCAGTTTCTCCACGTTCTCATCTCCAAAGACATACTCTTCTACTCCGTTCCACTCCAGACCCCAATCCAGGCCACAGTGGCGACCTTACCACTGCCCACTTCCAGAATCACTCCTTCAACTGCCCCCGCCCACCACACACACACACACACACATGCATCCCGACACCGGGGTGGGCAACAAGAAGGTGATGTGAATGCTCAACTCTTACGCTTCTTCAACTCTGCCAGCACAGACTCCTATTTCGTCCTGTTCAGGAGCCCTCAGCTTTCTTCACTTTGCTCTTTAATCTATCCTGGCACTGATAGGCCATTAGTTCATTAACATTCTTGTCAATACTCTACACTCCTTTGTCCCTAGGCCTTTTCATTGCACCCCTCTGGCAAAATCCCACCTTGAACAGTCTCTCCCCCCATCTCTAAGCAGCTGCGCTCACCTTGCATGTAACAGAACAGCTCTCAGAAGGGGACTCCCTCCTTGGCCTGGTGACACACACCAAACTCGCCCACATCTGCAGCTGCCCCACCCCGCTTCCCTTCAGTCAAAATATTAACCTCAGAGATGTGCCTCCCTCCACGGAATGCCAATGCCCACAATTCTGGCCTCCTCGGGACCCTCTCCCCATCACCCCTCCTCTCCTGAGTCAGCCTCTCTCAGGCAGCTCCTCCGTGGCAGTTCTCAAACATGCCAAGCCTCCGCGACTGGAAAGAAGACCGGCCCGAGCTCTCACTGGCTCACTGAGCACCACGGTCTCTCGCTCTTCTCTATCCAAGCAAACACGCCAAAAAGCTGTCAGTTACCTGATGCCGATGTCGTGCCTCCTCACTTCCCAGCCCGCTCCGCGTGGCTTCCATCTCATGCCACCCCGACGCTGCCCCTGCTCTGGCGGGTGGCACCTGTGCCTGCCTGCACTCAGGCTGGCCCCAAGCTCGCGGGACTCCTGCCGCACTCGCCCTCTCTCGGGAGCACAAGGAGGTGCTGCCAGCCACCCCTCCTCCTTGGCCTTGGCCATTGCTCCCTCCAGAGTCCTTTCTGTTCTCGGCTGCTGCCTCCCTGCCTCCCGTGAAGGGTCTTCCTCCTCTAACTGCCCGGCACAGAAACGGACTCCTCCCAGAGCTGTGACTGGGGCGGCCGCCACTTCACACGGTTTCCTTCCATTTCTTCCTTCTTGCAGTGAGTTTTCTTGGTTCTGGGACAGGGGCAGTCTGCAAACGGTCTGGCCCCTCTGCCCAGGGCTGGAGGGTTGATGGAGTGCAGGCCGGGGAGGAAGAGGCAGTCACCCTCTCTAATTCATCCTCACCAGCACCCAAGGCAACTCTGGGCCTGAGACTGCTCCTAAATCTACTCTGTGAGTTCAGAAGGAAATGCTACAGAACACAAAGTAACACACACTGGAAAGCAAAACTATACTCCCAATAAAAATTAAAAAGAAAAAAAAAGCCTATCAGCGAGATGGATCTTAAAGAAAAAGAACCTGGAAAGGAGAAGACAGCTGTGATTTCAGTCTCCCCAAAACTTCATAGACAAAGATCTGTGTAGAAGGATCCAACTTCAGGTCAGCAGGATTAAGACACCTGAGAATAAACACCCTGGGATGAATGGGCGACTGCGTCAGTTCACAGTTACTTTGGGGAGGCTGCTAGAAGACCCACAAAGGCAATCCCAAAAATCTAACCTGCCAAACCCAAGTCATCTCTTATGACCCAATAAGGTATTAACAACACAGAACATGTTGCAAAACAGTAGAAAGCAGAGGAAAGTGTAAATACCAAAACACTAAATCACATGCAAATATCCCAATGAGGATTATACCACCACCAATCTCACTCTGTGAAAGAAAATAATCCCGCTACCTTTACGACATGGCAGAGTTTCTGTGTTAAAGCCGAAACTGAACTGACATCGTAGTCTTGGAGACGAAACGTGTAACCAAAAGTCTTGGCGTATTCCTTAAGCAGATCTGTCATCATAAGGCAGTTATCTTTTTGGGACCGAAGGAGTTTAACGAACTGGGCAGCTAGAGCTTTGAATCGTTCAACCTCTGTCAAAGTGAGGATCTTCTCTTCTCCACATTCTAATACCTTGGAAAACACAGGAGGAGGAAAGAGAGAATGTTCATGGGATAAACTGGCATGAGAATATACACAATCAAGAACTAAGAAGCACTTCTGTCCAGTTTCAGTTTTGCAGGATTAGAAAGTTCTGGAAATTGGTTGCACAACATGAGGATATCTAATACTGCTGAACTGTACACTTAAAAACAGGCAGATAGGTAATGTGTATTTTATCACACACACACAAAATTTTTAAGCACTGTGTGGGTCAATAATGGTGATAGCAGGGACTTCCTCAGTGGTCCAGAGGTTAAGACACCACACTTTCCATGCAGGGAACATGAGTGTGATCCCTGGCTAGGGAACTAGGATCCCACATGCCGCACGTCGCAGCCAAAACAAGTGTGTGCGCTCAGTTGCGCAAATTTTCATCCTGTTTTATAACTCCCACTTCCAAGGCAAAAAGGCCTGGATTTTTTTTTATTCTCCCCATACTGTTCTGAAAGATAGAATTTCTTCACTTACTTGTAAAATATCAGGTATGGCTTCAAAAAGTTCAAGTAGTTTGGTAAAACCATAGTATGCAAGTTTGCACTGCCGGCCGAAGTGGTGATGGTAAGAGGGGATAAACTTATTAAAGGGCATCCGGAAATGGGGTTGATGCCGCAGCAAATCCACAACATCTTTGGAGAACTGTTTTGTCCTTTCTATTTCATCCTGAGTACGTTCTTAAAAAACAAAACAAAAAACCCACAAACCACAATTATCTTCAACCTATTTGTATTTACATTATTAGTGTAGTCAGTCCTATGCACTAGACTATAAGAGATACCATCTTTGCCTTCCAAACACAACCTAAAACACTCTCTTCTCTCTTTCCAGATGGTTTTCAAATGTGATCAAGGGCAGAACACCAAGAACTCATGATATACACATGCACACATACACACCTATGTGACTTCATCTCACAAGCTAGAAATAACCTCTCTAGCCCCTCCGCCTCCCCACACCCACTCCATATATATGAACATGACACACATACATATCTCTGTGCTTGAAAAAGTAATCTAGAAATTATTTTATTAAATCACACTTCTGAATATTCACATACTTTGTTTATTCACCTGCCCTTCAGTTAAAATTGCGAGCAGCAACAGGCACCAAAAGTTTAACAAAAATACAGGGGAGAAATGTTTTAGATGTATGTTTCTATTAGATTTTAAATTAGGATTAGAGAAACACTGACCACAGTCATTTTAGCTTTGGAACACTATGACTTCATGGACATCAGTGTCCTGAAAGAGCACAGTTTAAGAATGTTCCACAGATCAACATGAGTGGAAGAACATGACTGTACACAGATTTAATTCTTCTTAGTTCCCATCTCAGACTTCAGCTGGAACTAGCAAAAGGTGAAAGATGAAACATTCATTTGTGTCTTTTTTCCTTCTCAGGTGTGCAGAGGAAAACATCTTAAGAGTGAAAAATCAGACAAGCAACAGCCAGGTAGCTGACTCAGGTGGGTAATTACAGCAGAAGCAGCCACAGACAGGCTAAAGGAGACATTTTTAAAAAGTGCTGGTTATGCCCCCCTTTTCCCTTAAGAGTGAATTCTGAAAAAACAGCCTGGTTTTCTTCTCAACAAGTACCCTCCCCTGCTCTGAAGAAGCCAGGATCCACTGCCTGGCAGTGCAGAGTGCACGCTGCACTTTCCATGGCATCTCCAGGAACCACGAGGAGGGGGTGAGAGCATCACTGTGTGATTCCCTGTCACAGTAACCACCGAAGACGACCTCCATCCAGCAAATGTAAGGCACGTACCTCTCCTGGGGATACAAATCACTGCTTCACTATCTTGTTGGGACAAGCAGATGGTGGTATCTGGGATCTCTGATATGATATCAATCAACTCACAAACACCATATTCAGTGACATCCCAGTCCTTTGAGAAACACCTAGGTTTTAATCATGGAGATGGGTGAAGAATGAGAAGCAGTACTTGCCAAAATCACTTTTTAAGTTTTTTTCCAAAGAATGCTAAATGAAAAACTTAGATCATTACTATTAAATTCAGAACAAGTGTCTTAAAATATTTGCTTTTACTTTTTTCTCTTCTCAACTCACCAATGATAAGCCTGTGCGAATTCTCTCACAATGACTTGTTTGCTGGCTTGGGATTTGAGAAGTTTGAGTAGATCCTGAGTAAAGCGCTTCACCTGGGCCCTGTGGGTAAGGGTCAGCAGACGTTTGGAGCCCATTCCAAGAATCTGCAAACCAGATGCTTGGGTTATTACACTCCTAAGACCTTGGCAGAGCCTGACTCTCTTTTTGATGGCTTGTGCTCTCTCTCCTGTTACTGCCCTCAGGGTACAAATCCTTCTATATACGAAATCTGCACTTTGAAACACAGGTAGATAAATGAAGTGTAGGTGTCAGAATGAACAACTGCTCACATGCCTGGGATCCCTTTTCTTTCCTTGCACATTCTTTCCTAAAGAGTCACATGTTATTGGCCTGGGCAACTGATTTTGTCTCTAAAAGACAGCTCAAATTTTGCAGGCCGTGTTTACAAGTGGGAAGCTGTTATCACACTGTAGGTTAATAGGCAAAGACTCCTTAGGAAGCATTGTCAGGCTCCGGTCCAGGAACTGGTCTTGAACTCCTTCATGAGAAAAGGAAGCCTGTGTTACAGCAGCTCCTATGGAAGAATGAGACAGGACTGTGCTAGGAGGAAAGAGGGCAGTCTATAGAGGTGAGAAGGGAAGTACTCCTCGGCACACTTAAGAGTTCCTTTTAGATGGAAACTCAAGCTTTCTGAACAACTGAGAAGACACACACGTGTATAAACAAAGTTTTTACAGGATGCTCTGCTCTGAGCTGACTTCTTAGGAATTAAGTTACCAGTTGCCCTGATTCTTTGGCAGAGTCAAAGCCACAGAGAGACACTTCCACTGTTAAACAAATGAACTCTCAGCACTCCTTACCTGCAACACATGAGGCACTGCTTCTAATAATTCAATCAGCTTGGAATAGCCATAGTCGGATACCCGGCACTGCTTTGCAAAATGATGATGGTAAGATGGGATGAAGTTACTAATCGGTATGACACAGGATGGTTGGTTCTTCAATAGATCGATCACTTCTCTACTGAACTGGATCAGCTGGGGGTTACCCACAGGACTTTTAGAACGCAGAAGCCAAGGGTCTAATACATATTTGGGGGAGAAAACAGGAACATGCAAAAGACATAAAGCATGACTGCAGCAGCAGAAAGAGAAATAACTAACCTTTGCGTTCCCTGTGTGAACTCAATAAGGACAGTGCAGAAGACCAAACAGCCATGTCACTTCCCCACTGCTGAACTCAGGTCCTATATAACAGGATAACCCAACTTCTTTACAGACTGGCAAATGCTTTCCCACTGCTTCTTGCCAAAGTGAAGCATACTTCAATGCAGTGAGAACTTAAAAGAAGAGTAGTATGGCAAAGGCCAACACAACACTGTGAAGCAAGTTTCCTTCAATTAAAAATAAATTAAGTTTGGGGGGGGAGGGGGGGAATTGGCATTCCAAATAAATTAGTTTTAGTTAAAACAAAAGATAGGGGAGTAGATACAGAGGAAGTTTCCAGCTTAAATGGGTGTATGTCAAAGAACCATTTGTAAGGTCTTCACTAACACACTTTTTCACAGAAACAAAGTTACAAATGGTTGCTAAGCAGGTAGCCCAGAAGGGTCTAATTAAACCGGAGAGGGGCTGCAAATGCTACCCAGAAAACCATGGAAAGCAATGATGTAGAACTAGCATGAGATAAAACTAAGAAACAGGTTTTAGAGTTTATCTTGAATGTTCATATAATTAAGACATTGATTATTTATAAAAGTACAAGTAATCAGATGGAAGCCTTTGTAAGGGACGTGGGCTAACGACACAGGGGAGAGGAGGAAGGAAGCGGCCCAACACGGGACCCAAAGGGTGTGCGCCTGAGGGGAGGGGCTCCGGTACAAATAGCTCCGCTATCCTGACCTTTCTTCCTACAGGGAAGGGGCAGGAAAAAGGTCGGAGAAGACGAGGAGGAAGTTTTAGGGCCGATGTAACAGTGCTCAGGGAACAGGATCAGACACCTGCAGCTCCGGGGTAGCCGAAGCCCAGAATCTCATGCACCTCCCAGAGCAAAGGTCCCGGTCCCTGATACTTAAAGAGTTAAATCTATTTTTCCATTGATCAAAGTCAAAAACGTCGATCAGAATAAATTACTCAAGTAAATACTCACAGATACTTCAAAGATCTGAAAAGATTTCTAAAAGGCAAGCCAAACAAGCTTAACAAAATTAGATAACTAGAGAAGTTTTGTAACTGTGGAATCTGGGTTGAAGAAAGTTTTTAAAACAATTTATGCTGGTACTTTCCAAAAGTCTAGTTCTGCCAAACCGTCAGCACTTTAGAGTTTTTAAAAGGTCAAACAAGACAACCACGCCGCTTTATGATGGGCACACAGTGCTGCTATTTGAGAGAAAGGCCAGCAGCCTGTACTACAGTAGACCGTGACGTGAAAGGACCAAATACCTAAAACCTACCTGTGTTTGGAGGCGGGGGCTTGTTGTGAATCCACTTAACTACTTTGACACCATTCTGTGCGGTAGCGATGTTCACACCTGGCACGCAGGTGATGAGGTGTTCCAAGGGGACGCCCCCACCTCGGTTTTCCTGCACTATTTCCAGTTCACCAAACTCTGCGGCATAACAATCTGGAAAACTGAAGTGGGGCAGGGGAAAAGGTTAATTAAAATAATGAAAGAACAGCACCTGGCAAACAGACTGCTGTTTTTAACACATCCATTAATAAATAATTTCTGCTAAGATGCCCATGGTCTGGCTTTGAAAGTTCAAATGAAGTCCTAGAGAGGTGATCACTCTCTCTCTGATGCATTCTGATGGTACCAAAAATTCCAGGCAATTTTCTAGCAGAGGGGGTTAAAAGTAAGGTAACCGGGTTCCAAGTTCAAGCTCCTCTGAACATATTGTTCAGTGGCTTTACAGCAACTTGCTACCATGCTGGCCCCTCTATTAAGCCTACCATGTTGCCCATGATGTGGTTAAACGGGCTAGTGAAGAATACTTTTCTCCCTTAAAATGCAATCTACAACTATTTGAGACTGTGCAACTTCTCACAGCACTTGTGCACGGCACTTTCAACCATCTCTTCTCTGTGGAGGAGAATCTGCCCCACGCATGCTGATGTTTCTAAAATTCAGCACAAACATGAAATGTTCTTGTTGAAATACCAAGTGAATGGATCCCATGTTAGATACACTTTGACTATTAGTGGTAGCTAAAAACAGGCTGAAGCCTGGTACAGTGCATGCTCTGGGAGAGGCACATGCAGAGGGCAGACTTTCTAGAAAGAGAACGAAGGCTTCACAATGGCTTTGACAGTCACCTTAATAAAGGCACGGTGCCCTCGTGTGTCTGCAGAAGACTATGGACCTGGGGTGCAAACGTCTTCAGAGAGAGAATCACAAAAGGAATCTTGTAAGAGTCTGGATCAAATTCGTGTTCACTGCAGAAAAGAGAACAGAAACAGAAAGCTGGCATTTCTCAGCGGTTGAAGACGTTCCCAAGGTAATTCTAACAGATGCTCCACAACCTTTTACAGAACGACTGTTTCTCAAAGAAATGAGTAACATACCTGAAATCCTTGTTGGGACAGTGCTGCCTGCAGACAGGCTCGTGATATTCTAACTCTTCAAATATAATTGGGCTGCAGTTTGTCGAGGAACCGTCATGAGACTGGGAAGACCCCAAGGGGCTCTGGCGGGCCTGACTGCTGGGTAAGAGACACACCAGTCTGCCATTTCCTTGTTCACGGATTGCAACCGTGTCTGTTAGTTTATACAGATCTGACACATTCAACCTGTGTCCAAACCTAGAAACAAGGAAAAAGAGAGAGAGAGATGCGGACTTAAAGAGAGTATTTTTCTTCAACTGTAGAGAAATGCCTGACTTGTTTAGATAAAGCTCTGTAACCGAGAACGGATCCCTGTCTCTTCAAAAAATAAAACTGGGATAATTCTACTATAAATTCATTCACCATCAAACCAGTAACACTTGGCACTTCTTGCCATCATCCTGGGCCCACTGCCCATCACTGCCCATTACAGTGATTACATGTATCATTTGGTATGTACCCTCCGACCCCACAGTCTCTGTAAATGCCTCACCTCAATTTCTGAGATGGAAAGCTATCTGCTATAACCCCTGTCAACTTGGCCTCCCCTTCACTTCTAAATCCCTATTACCTCTCATCATCTCTGCTCCCCTCCCTCAGAGGTATTCCCTTTTCCAGCTACTCCTCACGTCCACTATGCTTCAGTCTGCTGATCTACACTAGACTGGACTCCCCAATCACCACTCTGACCTGTGTCTTTCATAACTGGAACACAAAGGCGCAGGATCTGAAGGCAGACAGATGTGAGCTCAAATCCTGATTCTACCTATAAGACCTTAGCCAAGTTATACAAGCAACCTACACCTCAGTTTGCCCGTCTGTAAAACGGGGTGACAATCCCTACATCATGGAGTTGACAAGGGGGTTACACATGGTATATATGGAGAGCACGAAGCACACAGTAAGTGCTTGTTCAGGGTTATCTGCTCTCATGGTCTCCTCCCAGGGCCCTGTCTGTACGCTCAGATCTCCCTGCAAACATGTCTCAAGCCCCGCCCCACCCCCCACACTGCCTCGCTCCGCGGAAGCCCAGTCTCCTCTGTGCTCGCTCAGTCTGGAGCTCTTGCATCTTCTCTGAAATGGAAACAGCTGGTCTCTCGAGAGCCGCCTCTGCTGTTTCACCATGTAGTCTGCCACCCTATTCCCTCCAGGATTTTCTCCACAGGACTCCTCGGCGTCAGCTTCCAAGTCACCAGAGGCTGCCTCCTCCTCCGCTCCAAACCTCACACCACCTTCTCAGGCTGTCCCCGCTCCCAATAGCACTCTGGCCTCTGGGTTCCCGCCAGCTTCCAGTCCCTACTGCCATTCCACCCAGTGCTGCCCTCTCTCTGGCTCTCCTTCCATTCCTCTAAGCGGATCTGTTCCCAGGTGTTCCAAGCTCATCTTTAGGTAAACAACTGCCGTTATCTTCAGAGCTGACTTCTTTCCTGAAAGAGACTCCACATGTGTAGGAGATCCCCTGAACACTCTTCCCAGACATTCCAATTACTCCCTAAAATTCGGATGCTCGAAGCCAAGATTAAAAACTTGCTGTACCTCCTCAACAACCTTTATTTCTTTTCTATTCCAGCTTAACCATATAACCTTTCCCTCAGTCATCTGGGGCAAAAAACTCAGAATCAAACTGACCTCTATTTTTAACCTTGCCTGCTACATAAAACTAGTTACTAAGCCCTATTTCACCGACATCTGAAACTTCTCTGGTGTCTAGTTCCTCTCTTCTGACAGTGTCTGCTTAGAGCCGGGACTGGTGCCCACGTTCCGTGTCCCCCTCTCCCCCAGTTCCGTTCACTCCAGCTCAGACACTACCCCTGCCTGAAGCCTTCCCACCACCACACCGACCCTCTCCCCTCCTTTCTCTGACACTTCAGTGGCTTCCACTACCCATGCGATCGATCATGACCAAGTGCCTGGTTCCTTGTATCCTCTGTAACCTCAAAGCATTTTCTCCTTTGTAAGGACAGTTTTCTTTTTCTATACAATAAATGGTAACTGTCTTTTTCCCTTCCAGATATACCCCCCCACCCCCACTCAAAGAAATGCGCTGTCTTCCCAGCTCTGCACCCTCCAGAGCCTTTCGCTCCACTGGCATTTGCTGAGTGTCTGCTGAGCGCTGAGCACTGAAGACTCAGTATTAGGTTTGATCCAGTGCCTGCTGTCCCAGAGCTTACAGTCTAGAAGGTGCCTGAAAATGTTCACTCAATGAGTAACAGAACAAATCAGCCAAGTGGAAAAGATACTAGTACAGGTTTAGGGACTGAGGTCTAAATTTACTAAAAATAAAAGACGTTTTTAAAATGTGTGTTTTTAAAACTGGACTTTCAATCTGAACACCACTGTCTTGGTCTTATTTCCTCCACTGGCTCCCTAAGAGTTGCTACCAGGGTCTCCCATCAGCACTGGCTGGATCAATGAAAACAACAACCTTCACTTACTTCTTTTCATAGATATCTGTAAATTTAAAAAGAGGCAGACAACAGGCAGGAGCATCCTGAAGAATGGACATTGTTTCTGCGCTGCAAGAAAAACGGTTAGCCCATTAGAGAACAGATGTCTTCCTCTCTGTTCCACGTTGTTTTTAAAAACAAGAGTTAATTTAATTAACACAATGTGTACACAAAATAAATATACTCATTTATTCTCAGAGTTTGAGCTTCTGGAAAAACTTAAAAGAATGGACTTTAGGAACACAGCAATTAAAGAATATTTAATTATACACTGGGACTTTAATCAGACTCAAGCAGAGCTTTCCACACCTGTGTATCAGAAAGCAAAGGGCAGATGAGCCTGTCTCCTGCCACACTGTAGTTCTATCAGAGAGATGGGAGAGGACTCCCCACAGCTGAGGATATACAACTGAATACACTTTAAGAGTGACTGGCTTTGAGTCACAGGATTATGGATGATTCTTCTGTCCCCAGCTTCTTTTATGTTTCTGAAATTTCCAAATTTTCTTCAGTGAGTATTATTTTTATTCAAGGAAATTTAAAAAATTACTTAAAATAATGGTGAAGTTTTGACTTGTGTACGTTGTGAAATGATTACCACAATCAGTTAAGTGAACATCCATCATCTCATACAGATACAAAACAAAAGAAAAAGAAGGTTCCCCCTTGTGATGAGAACTCCTCTGATATACTCTCCTAACAACTTTCATGTATGACAGCAGTATTAACAGTATTAATCATGTTGTACATTACATTCCTAGTACTTGCATTATCTTATAACTGGAAGTTTGTACCTTTTGACCACCTTCATTCAATTACTGCCCACCCCCCACCTCCAGTAACTACAAAGCTAATCACTTTTTTCTGTGAGTTTGCTTGTTTTTTTGAAGTATAATTGACCTACAACAGTATATTAGTTACTGGTGCACAAATCATTATGCTGTACACCTAAAACTTGAACAGTGCTCTATGTCAGAAGCACATCATGAATAAAACCATCACCAGACCCCTAGGATTAATCTAATGATAATGTAGACGTATGGGGCTGGGTGTCTATTTGACATTGACGATGAATCTGCAAGTTGAGAGTGGAAAACTTTGTAGATTTGCCCCTTACAGACAAATCTACCTTCTACTAAAACTGGAAGGTGGTGTTCTGGACTTTCTAGGCGTATACACTCCTGCTGTAGAGGGTCACTATTTTCAGAGCCTGTTCTGGATATGCGGCACATTATTTTACTCTTAAATGCCTGCCAAGTTTAAGCTGAGATTCATCTTGATTAAATGACTTGAACAAGTAAATTATTCTAGTTAGCTTATTACTAATGCCTACCTTATTTCTAACTCTATCAAAGGAGGGGGGAGAAAGCATTACTGCATATGTAAGCATCACAAGAGGGTTGGGAATGGGAATAAAATCTATTTTTATTATTTCTAAAATTGTTTCTGGCCCAAAAATAACATTTTTGAAACAAATGGCTTGTTCTTTACCTCAGTAAAGAGAGTGATTTATTAGCAGCTCCTGTGGCAAGTGAGACCAGGATTTTCTTGCTGCCAATTTTGTATCTGTGGAGGCTATTCACTGCACCAATAGCTTCTTGTAAGTTCTCCATCTGAACCACAGCTTTGAGCTGATAATCTGTGTGGGGGCTGAGCTCAACGCTCTTCACCTGCAGCAGTAAGAAGAAAACAGAATGCCGATCTACCAGAACCGTGTCCTCTTGAAACTGAAGGTCAATCACTGAGGAACTCGCTTGTGGACTTCAGTGCTGCCGTGAGGGAACCTGTCTGCACTCTGCACTTCCGCCAACCACAACGGAAGCAAGCTAGGACGGGTGATCTGCAGGGACATGACACCAGCCTGGCCGGCCTGAGCTCTGGCACACAGATCTCTCCAAGGCAGGCTCAGGGGCCAAGACACACTGGGCCTGCTCCAGACCCTGCCCAACTGGGGCAGAGCCAGGTTAAGAACCAGCAAAAGGTGCATGTTTTAGCAACCTGCACCCAAAAACTGAATCGGACACTGTAAGATGAACAAACAAAAACAGTCAACATCATTTTAGAATCCTGTTTCTGTATTTTAGCAGCCGGAGCTAACTAAAATCCATCAGTGTTTTATTTCCCCAAGAGCCACTTAAATCCCTGCCCAGGACCACAAGTATGTCTCTGCCAGGCTTCTTGCTCCCTGGGGCCGCATCCTAAAAACTGAACATACAGCACCAGCACGAGGAGACCTGGGTAAAAAAGAAGGCATTCAAACTCGTGAAGCAACGCTTATAGCCTGCCTGTGGCTATGTGTGCTGAGTCAAGTGCATTCATCTTGAAATGCAGCGAGAGAGAGAGTGAAAAGGTTACCTTGCCGTGCCTAGAAAATGCTTCCTGCATGAGCTGCTGCAGCTCCTTCCGGGACAACCTGTAGTCCAGGTTGCTGATCTGGACGTCAACACCATGCGCGAATGGGTCTGGGCAGTCAGCACCAACGCTCGAATGCGCAGCGTTGAAAGCAAGCGGGGATGCTCTGTTTAAGAGGTTTGGAGACAGACTCCTGCTTAAAACGTATGGAGTGAGGCTTAAAAACTGTTTAAAAATGTTTTAAAACTGTTATTCTACTTATTCAGTTTATGTCATTTAGCTTTGCTTGAGACTACATTAAAAACTGTTTTCCAAAATACAGTTTGATTCTCAAATATGCTTTTTCTTAAAACATCACACTGATTAGACTCATTGTCAGAAGTACTATCTGTTGACACCCTGATTAACAACAACAACAACAATTTTACGTAACGTCAAACATTCTTTTGTTGGATTATTTAAAGCTAAAGGCAGAAATTACAGGCAGGGCTGATGAATCCATTTTCCACTTTGGGTATTTATTCTTAGGAAATCAGCCTGTGACACTAACGTCAGCCATTTACCCTCTCCCCAGCTCTGAAAAAGCCAGATATTCTTGCTTATATGTTTCGGCTTTTCTCCCTGGGAGGAAAACTTTTACATCAATTTGAGACGCCATTTTACAGGTTCAAAGCCACTTTCAACAGTGAGTTTTCACCAACCCAGCAGAATAAATACAATGCTAGCAGGAGCTCAAGAGGCCTAACGTGGCCTTAGGGCTCCTTCTGTTCTCCGAGCTTCCAGACTTAGTAAATTCAGAAAGCTTAAATAAGGTGTTACACAGATGGTTACAGTGGTTTACAGAGACCTTCGGTTCCCTAACAGCTTCCAATAATTACCCTATGAATAAAAAGAACCAATGCATGTCCGTCTGGGCCTCTTTCTCAGTCTGATGAAGTGATAAGAACCTAGTAAGGACACCTTAATGTGCCCCCCATCGCTGGCCAAGGACTCCAGGACAGGCTTCTTTGACCTCGGCTTACCGTGACTCCCGCGTGGAGGATGGAGAAAGGCAAGAAACAATGCCCCCAAATGTTACCTGAGGGAAAGGGAACTGGTAGAAGAGCGGTGGAAGCTTTCTCTTTTACTTTTATTATTTTTTATGGTTCAAACATTTCGATTTTTAAAATTTTTACTATAAATTTCTACTGGAGAAGTAAGGTTGCTTTACAACATGTGTTAAGTTTCTACCGTACAGCAGGGTCAGCCATCCCTCGCTTTGGATTTCATGCCCGTTTAGGTTACCAAGAGCATCGAGTAGGGTTCCTTGCGCTGTACAGCAGGCTCTCATTAGTTACCTGTTTTATACGTAGTGCTAAGGTTCCTCTTTTAATTAAGCACTTCTGTATTGCTTGAATTCTGTTCAATAAACATTACTTCATAAGCCCTTCTACTGCATACAACCACTCCACGGATCAAGACCCACTCACCGAGAAGACCAAGGCTGAGCCGTGAGCAGGGGGCTCACTTGCCTGGATGCGATCAACTTGCTAAAAGCAGACGGGTAACTCACTTGAAACAGAGTCTCCTCTCTCTCTTTTTTCTCCACAGGAGAACTGGTAACACTGCGGGCGCTGAGGTTCTCTTTCCTGGTGGAGAGAAACATCGCAGGCAAGAGGTCACCTGTTTCCCTTCACATCAAGACAAGCAGCTACGAGGGAGAGTAACGGGACCTACTTGGGATTGGTTTTGTAAACAGATTCTGCCAACCCTGGGGTTTTAGGTGCGGGCGCTGCAGCACTTAAGTTTCTGTGAGGAGGCACCCCCGGCCTCAGGTGGCCTTGCTGGGGCTCACTGCTTCGAGTGCCAGTCTTCGACTCCAGGCGGCACAGCTCCTTGAGAGAGACAAGAGCAAGGGAGTTTAATAGTTAAAGTCTCCAAGATGTCTCAGACCTTGTACAGGAAACACCTGACTTCAAACAGCCTCAAAAACGAAGGAAAGCAAAAAAAATAGACACACCAAAAGCAGGTGAGCATCTAAAACGGAGAGACTAAGAAAGCAAACCTAGCAAAAACTTCAGGAAGCAACAGGTGTCACAATTACCTGTAAACTTTTCACACTGGTGTTTTTGGGAGCAGATCCAGAATTCGCCTGCGACCCTTTTCCAGGTGCAGCTTTGGCACTGGAAGGTGACTCACTTATATCTTTGATGAGGCACAGTTTTGGATTCTTAAGTTTCTTAGGAGACTTCACTTTATCAGCAATTGCATTTGAACTCTTGGTTTCACAGAGTTCGCCGCTTTTTGGAGTAAATGACACGATGATCCTGTTACCAAAGACATCTTCATTTTCCATTCGCTTCAGAGCCCGTTCCGCGCTGTCTCGGTTTATGAAGCGGAGGATGGCGCTGCAGCCTGTGATGTTCAGCACTTTCCCGCCACAGTTATCGGACAGGCGTCTGAGCCTGTTGCTGATGCTCTTGCCGTCTTTGTTGGCTGGTAGGTTATAAACATAGAGCAGAGTGTGGCACTGTGGACACAGACAAAGTGTTAAAACAGGTGGACTCAGGGGCCCACACTCAATTACAAAGAACAATGATCTCCAAACTACAGTGATCTCAGGGGAGGGAGAACAGAGACTTCCATGGGAAAGGGTACACATACCTAGACCGAAAAACACAGAGGAAGAAAAAAAGAAGAAATGTATCTAAAATAATCACTCTGGTGAATTAGAAAAACTATGTGGCAAGATTTAATGCTCTGAATAATCAGGTTTGGTTTTTTTTTAATCATAAGGAATAAGGATCTCTACAATGGGTAGCCTCTCACCTAAGATACTACATTTGACTTAAAGGCCTTCCAGATTAAAACAGGGAGTGCCAAACAGAAGCAGAGGGAGGAAATGTAGCTACAGCCAGGAGACATAAGGAACACCAACAAAAGTGAATTAGGGGTGCAGCAACAAAGCTTGAAACAGGTATTGCCAACTGCAGACCATCCAGGGCATGTGTTTAATCTCGGGTATCTGGGGTGCAGAGGGACAAGGACTGCAAGCGCCGGAATCTGGAGACAATCACGGTGGGACCTCCAGTGGCTTGCTTTTTTCCCCAAGGTGCTGACTTCCTCCTCACTAAAATGAGGAGGCTGGGTGAGATCATTCCTAAAGTGCTTCCATAACTCTCAAGTTATTGAAGAATGTGAAAACTGTATTTCACGAATGGGACTGCCTACCCTTCTGGGCCATCCACGCTACAGCTCCTTTCTATTATTATTAACGTGTGTTAGTCGCTCAGTCGTGACCAATTGTGACCCCAGGGACTGCAGCCACCAGGCTCCTCTGTTCATGGGATTCTCCAGGCAAGAATACTGGAGTGGGTTGCCATTCCCTTCTCCAGGGGATCTTCCTGACCTGGGGATGGAACTCGAGTCTCCTGCAATGCAGGCGGATTCTTTACCATCTGATCCACCAGGGAAGCCATATATAGTCTCCAAACAGCTTAAACACAAGTTCAGTGTCCCAGTAAACATCTTATCCTAAATCAAGTCTGTGAGAAATGCTCGTCCTGCTGGAAACATGTGCACATTCTCCTATTAGTGGCTTATCAGGGTGACAGGTGTGGTGCCCACTACTCCTGACTGTGCTCGCGCATGGCAGGGTCTGCAACCAGAGAAGACAGGCTCAGAGGCCGGCTGGAGCTTCAAGATTAAGTGCCGCAACTGTACAGTCATTCTGCTTATTTGACTCCAACCACACCAAGATATGCAATCCATCATCATATTCTTTACCCTTAAAACTTGGGCAAAAATAGTAGTAACTCTCATTCCATTACTGCCATACACCTGACATAAAACACTGCTAACTGGCAAGTGCCTGTCAGTAAGGTGAATCTAAAAGTCAGTTTCCTGTGATATTTTGGAAAATATAAAACCAAAATTCACACACTGGATTTCCCTGGTGGTACAATGGATAAGTATCTGCTGCTAATGCAGGGGATATGGGTTTAATGCCTGCTCCAGGAAGATTTCACATGCCATGGAGCAACTAAGCCTGTGCACCGCAACGAGAAGCCACCACGATGAGAAGCCCGTGCCCTGCAACAGAGCAGCCCCCGCTCGCTGCAACTAGAGAACGTCCACGAGCAGCAACGAAGACTCAGCACAAACAAAAAAAATGAAAACAAAACAAAAAAGTTCACACACATCAGTTCTCTGTATATTTATAAGAGAATGGAAAGTTTCTAGGCCTATTTCAGAATCTAGCCAGCCTACTACAAAGAACACCCTCACCTGGGCTTGGACACCCATTATGGAGGACTGTCTTAAGTCTCCACAATCTTAACCAGACTACAGCAGAAAGAACGCAAACCCACTTACTGGCATTTTCAGTGGTAACCTGGGAGGCAGGTCAGAAATGAATTCTTCAAATCTGATCAGTTCGTTGGCGTGATGCAGCAGTGCTTCTGAGGCCTGGTTTTTATGGACCAAAATTATATGGAAACCATGCCTGTGTCTCAGGTCACTAAGTTCCAATGCGAAATTGACATCAGCTGAAAGACAGGGTACAGCCCACCCCCATCTCCACAGATTAGAAACACTTGACAGAGAGGCAACTCTAATAACACCCACTGAGAAGAAAGGAACAGCAGGATTGTATTCAAAGTGGCCCCCCAACCCCTTTTTAGAATAGGAACACATTTCATGTCAGAAGAATTAATGTGGTAAGACAATTTTACCATAGACTCATGCTGAACCCCAAGACACATTCCTTTTAGTAGTAAAAAGGAACAAATATTAATGTTCTGGGGATCCCCAATTTCATCTTGGATTTTTCTTTTAAATAAGCAAAACAGGGCCCAGGAGTTAAAAAAAAAAAAAAAGAAAGAAAAATTACATTTTCTTTAATATACTTGGCCTTGCAAGAATCCTCTCTCAAATTCCCAGGAGAAAAATACAGAAATCCATGTAGATCCATTTTTTTTTAAACAGTTTTCAAAGATAAGCATAAGCATGTCCCATGTATTTCAGCATCTTTGGGGGCACACTTTATTTTAACATATTCTGGCTTCTATGGTAACGCACACATAGAGAGTTTAGCTGAAATTAGCAGATGTTTCTACACTTACTTGACACAAGAAATTAGCAGATGTTTCTACACTTACTTGACACAAGAACCACAGTGGCGGGAGCGGTGTGAGTATTTGCAAACCTTCGGAGGCTCTGGCGGAGCTTGTCATCAGCAGCATTCTTTGCAGTAGCATTGATGTGGGCAACGGTTACCTGCATTAATTTATAATAAGGACAAATGAGAAAGAGCTGAGGTTAGAAAATCACTACACATTCTGCCCACATCTTAATAGACAGTTCTTGAGGAACCTTTGATTTCTATTGCCACTCAGGGATGGGGAAAAAAAAAATACAATCAAATCTCAATAATTTCACATTCAGTTCTCCAGACAAATTAACTGGATGCATTATTATCCCTACTTTCATCTCTAATCTGCTTTTGTACTTCATCCATCCCCCTTTCAGAATAGAAAGTGAAATCTGAAGTAGTTAAATTAGCTCTCTCTAGCATCTTTTGCCAACAACATGTGGGTGGCAGAGATTTGATATATGATTAAGGTAAGACTCGGGGCTATGTTTGATGTTATTAGCTTCCAGCTTAAAAGAACAGACTTTGGGGACAATCTGGATTTAAATCCAAGTTCATCCACTTACTGGCCATGTGATCTTAAAAAAGTTGCTTAACCTCTTGGGCCCTTTCATTTGTAAATTCCAAATAATAAATCCTATAAGCATTCACAGAGCAGTTATGAAAATCAAAGGAAATGATACATATGGAATCACTATACTAGGAAAGCACTAGTCACGTGTAAGCAGACTTGCTAAAAAATAAGACATGATGAAATGATTTCAGATGCTTAAAGAAATCATCTTTTCCTATTTTATTTATAAACTTAGCACAAACATAACAAATTTTCAACTGTAGTTCTTAAAAAAAATCATGTGCTTATTCTTCTACTGAGACAAATAAAAATTCTTTCTTTTTTTTCTACCTGGCAATTATTGAGCTCTTGAATAACTTCTTTATTTTCTTTACTGATGTCACATACACAAATGAATTCTGCTTCTCTGTGGCCTTTAAAAAACTTCTCCCGGATTCTCTGTACAACTGCAGTAGCTGAGCGGCCAGAAGGGACTGAGCAGTTTTCAATATCCCAAAAAACCCCAATGGGGGGTAAGTTCTCTAGCATCTGTCCAGCCAGCGTAACTTCCGGGGACCCTTGAGAAATGTGAACACCTTTGATTACACACAGCAAAAAATAGGTTAAGATATTAAAGATAACAGGTAGCTATCCCAGGGGCAGGAAAATAAAATTACAGATTGATGTTAAATTTAAGGATGCTGACCTCACTGGCTGGCCCAGTAAGACAAACAACCCCAAGTTGCCAAAGTATCTCTAAGCGTTAATTCCTTTCTCAGGAGAGAACAAATCCAAAGGCCAATTTATTTTAGGCGCACAATCAATCCGTCATAAAGCGTGAGCCATCCTCACACTGACCAGGTATGCTCCTCAACACTAATAAACAGGGTCACTGGACCCTGCCCTCTGGGGCTTGTCGCCATGCTGGGCCCACACCTCACTCAATGTGGGAGAACAATGAAAACGAATGCTGAAGGTGTTATAGCCCATGACTTTTAATGACTTTTAACACTGCAGTAACATCTGATCCTACTTTTGGAAAAATATTTTTAAAAGATAAAATATCATAACAGCTACTTTTGGGGGAAATGATCTTAGGTTTTCAAATACGGTTTTTTTGTCAGCCATTTCTAAATACTAATTATCTCTGGGCAACATACAACAAACAAGTGTGATTATGAACCTAAGCTGCCACCAAGTCCCTTCCAGCACTCATTTCTCCTTATAAAGTCCCCATTTTTCTATATACAGTTTCTGATCTCAAATAGCCCCAGCTCAACACAAATGGCAACTGACCTACTGGTCTATAAGAGTAAGAAGATTTTTTACCAAGAGATGGAAATGGAGACTCACATACACAGGAGTTTCAGAACCCCAAGGAATCTTTTAAAGGCAGTTAAATTCAGTGTTAGTATCAGGTACTAAAAACTTTAAATATGCATTTTATACAATACTGTCATTTACCAAATTTCGAAGCAGCTTTGCCTAGAGTGGTCGCCAATAACAGCGTGGTCTCCTTTCCTGTTCCTTTGGTTCCACAGCCATTACACAGAGGAACAGTAACAGGTGCAGTCTGAGTATTTGGAGGTGGTATATTTGGCCAGACTTTAGCAGCATCAATTATACTATTTCTTGCCGGCTGTTTTAAAATTATTTTAAAAAGAGGAGGTTTCAGACACATTATTTCAGAACTTAAGAGTTACACATAACAACTGAAAATACATTCTAAGTGTTTCTCCTTTCCACCTGCTAACCTCTAATAAAATATATTTTCAAATCGCCTTTCCCAGAACTACCAAAGCATAAACTCACTTCAAAGTGACCTGAAATGATCAGGGAAGATATTCACACAATTAGACCTTTACATTCTGGGGTATGTGTCTGTTACAGTAGAAACCCTCAGACACACTTCACAAAAAAAGGAAGTTAAAGTCTTCACTTGAGCCCCAGGTGTGATGGAGGCCAAATTTCAAGCTCCCTCAATTACTACAAAAGGACAACATGCAGCCATCTATATTACATGGATGAGTCCATGTATCAGGTGAGCATTAGCTATAAGAAATTCCAGTTGTGCTCCAGGCTTTAAAAACAAGAGAGTGCAAGTCTTTGCCCAGCTAGGCCCCCATGTAGGAAACAGATTTATTACAGGAGACTCTAAAAGCATGAACTGAATAATTACACTAGACTTTTCTAACAGTCCCTCCCACTGTACCCTCTGCTTTCTTTCTGAACCACAAGAAGTTATGCTGATGGGGAGAAAGCCACATCATGAAAGAGTCTTCAACCCCACACACAAAACCAAGATTGTTTTTTGTTTTTTTTTAAGATTTTTTTTTTAAAAGATAGTCATTTTATTTTTAAAAAGTCATTCCTCAAACCTTAGCTGCACCCAACATAACAAAGAAAAAGATACAAACCTTGTTGAGACAGTCTTCGCAGTAAAGTGAGCCCTTTAAACAAACTGGAGGTACCACATTTAGGTGCAAAGAGTTGGTGCATAAGTGAGGCGTGAGCTCCGACTGTGAAATGTGTTCTTCCAAGTGCCCGGGAGCCCCACTTGTGAAATCAGAACAGGGGAAATAGCCCGCAGAGGAAGAACAGCCCTGGAGAGCTGGAAACTGATGCAGCTTGTGTGCGTTACCATGGCACGACTGGAAGTGCAGCTTCCCACAACAGGGCAGGTGCTTGCAGGAAGAGAGGTTACTTTCTAGACACATGCTGGGAAAGTCGCTTGCAACGCCGGCCAAGGTGTTCCTAGCTGAGGCGTTCTGGAGTGGAGGTGCAGACTGGAAAGCAAGCCCTGACCCTACCTGACACGTGATCGTCCTGGTGCTCTGCGAGTCTAACAGGGCGCCCGGGGGAACCAAGCTACCAGTCCCTCCGCCACTGCCACCACCAAAACGCACTGGCGAAGTGGAAGGGTCATTAGTGCAATGGGCACAGCAGCTTACTTTGGGGACAGTTGAAAGCTGTACTTTAGGTTGCTGAAGAGAGTGGATATCTGGAAGTGGGACTGCTGGGAAAAGTTTAGAGCCAGCATGAAGGGGAGATGGTACATCCTTTAGTTCCACAGCAACTTTCTTGTTCTCCATGTAATCTTTCTGAGGAAAGAAAACCAGAACACAAGTTAATTCTATGAGGCCGGTGACTTGGGGTTACTCACAACTGACTACATTAAAAATGAACACTGTTCAAACCTTATTTACATCACTCGATCATAACCACACAAACAGAATGGCAGCTAAAACCAGGAGCATTCTTCAATGGGAGGTGAACACTGAAACAGACAACTAAAATTAAGACTGTGTCCTTCCTGAATTTGAAGAGACTGGGGGAGGAGGTCTGTTCACATATTTAACAAGCCTGGTTAACCATCCATGTCTCAATGGCGTCCCTTTGATAACTTCCCCTTGCCTCTCAGTGTCTTCTGCAGACAAAACAGGTGGTATGAAAAACAACACAGTCACAACAGTATTCACTAAAGACAGCTCATGAGCAAAGCGCTTTAAGGAAAATACTAAAAATTTAATAGTTTGCTAAATGACATTTAGCAAACCATGGGACATCTGGAAAGGCGACAGTGCACTTCTGGGTCAAGTGACTCCTTTAGGCCCCAGATCTGTCACCCTGGACCCCTGCCTGAAGCTGCCAGCCCTCCGTGCACTGTCCCTGAACTAAAATTCTTCTGAAATAACTCCAGTTACTGATGCCATGCAACAAAGGCAGCTATGTAATGAAAATGTGGAGATGACAGGGAATTGATTATAAATTCATAGTAAAGTCTCATTTAATTCCCAAGTACAGGAGAAAAAAAAAGGTGATAACATGATCCAGCAAATGAAGTCAGATAAAGTCAACATCGTTATGAAAAGACAAAAAAAGGAAGTCCCAGATATACATAAATATTCAAGAGAAATCCTGAACAGAAAAAGATCATCAACAAGCTCATACAATCTTTCGTGATTTTAAGACACAAAATTCAAAGGCTACAGTAAAATAAAATCTATTTCGTACTTTCCTCCCATTTTATTCTAAAATGTGGATTTTTGTCTTTGTAATCTGTGACTTTAATGAGAAACAAATCTTTCCCAAATTTCAACATCACACCTTTCCAAGCATCTAATGTTACTCATTAGTACAGGATTTAAAAAACTGTACCCTCATTGAGTCAGGAATTACAATAATGTGCTATAAGAAGTAATACAAGCAGGACACAAGGGAAAACAGCCCAGACTCCAGGGCGAGAGACTGCCCCAGACCAAACGGATTGCTCATCTATTTGCACAAGAAATTTGCTATGTCCTTAGTCTTGCACATAATTACCGTTTGGGGACTAAGTGGCAACGTTTGCTCAGGACGAGAAAAGCAGTTAGAGAATTTCCAAAGCCATGGCTTAGCATCATTATCTTGTTGAAGCCATCCAATTGTTCTACTGCAGGGGTTCTCAGCTCCGTTTCCTTCCATCATACAGCCATGCGGAGTGGTTCAACATCCTTTCATCTTTCTTTTCTTTCATTCTTCCACCCTGTTAAGAATGAGGTTGCAGCGTTATTCATCTAAGTACAGATTTTACTACTGAAATATGAGACTACACTTACGGTGCATTGTTTCTGTTCAGTCACTAAGTTGTGAACCACTTTTGTGAACCCACAGACTGTAGCCCACCAGGCTCCTCTGTTCCTGGGATTTCCTAGGTAACAATACTGGGGTGGGTTGCCTTTTCCTTCTCCAGAGTATCTTTCTAACCCAGGAATTGAACCTGTGTCTCCTGCATTGCAGGTGGATTCTTTACTACTGAGCCACAAGGGAAGCACATTTATGGGGCACAGGTCATTTCAAACAGGGCTGACGCAACCAAATCTGGGTGCTTTTAACACTGGGACCAAAGACCGAGTCTTCCATAGGATGTAACAGCCACGCAGCAGTGTTACACTTTTCTGATGGACATACAAGATTTAGCCACTCATATCCATGATTAGTGATGTGGGAAAGTAAAAATGTAATTGTCTTCCAAGTTAAGAAAAAAAAATTATGGTGCAATGGCTCCCAACAAGTCATATCTTAAGGAACAAAAGTAAAATGGCTATCAAAGGATACTGTAAAAGTGAAAGTGTCAGTCCCTCAGTCCAGCTGGCTCTCTGCAACCCCATGGACTGTGACCTGCCAGACTCCTCAGTCCATGGGATTTTCCAGGCAAGAATACTGGAGTGGACTGCCATACCCTTCCCCAGGGGATCTTCCCGACAAGGGATCGAAACCGGGTTTCCTACATTGGCAGGCAGATGCTTTACCGTCTGAGCCACCAGGAAACCTGGCAACAAAGCATATTACAGCTTACTAAAACTGGTAAACTTGGTTGACTATTTATACTTGAATTCTAACTATATCAATTTGACTTAAAAAAAATTTATCATCTTCCATTCCTTATGTTTCCTAGCTCTTCAGACAAAAATGAACTCTCGATGACCCTCTTTCTGGCCATGCATGAGAGAGGTCGCAGCATCCTGGACACCTGCATACTCCCTCCTCTTCACTGAGCTGGAGCCAAGGTCCTCCAGCACCGAGCAGACTATATATAGTATTTCTTAATTTTTCTTTACTACCCCTCCCTAAAGACTCTACTTGGGACGGTAAAAAAGTTAACGGGAGAGAGCATGTAATTTGAATAAAAGAACCACTACATGTCCTCATTCTCAATTATGTAAGATTGTGAAACTGATTTCAGAGCAACTTATCTCACTGTGTCTTTGATATTGAGTATGGACGGTCCAAATTAAGTGACCTCTGTGGACTCTGAATTTGATTCAGCTACAGAACAAATCGAACCAACTTCTCAGTTTGCTTATTATGAAAGTAGAATCTGCTATGCCACCAAAAATCCAGTAGACACATCTCAAGTCCCAGATGTGCTGTATCTACTCCAGAGCAACACCCTACAAATCCTGAAACAGTACAATAAAAGCAGATGCAATCAATATCAGCCATTGGGCATGGAGGCAGCCTGCCAGTGATAAGGATGACTGAACCTCATCTCCAAGCCCTCGTCACCAAACCCCAACCACCACCTCCTCTTACCGACAATGGCCATTTTGAGGTCACTAATTTATCTTTCTGAAATTTCTGGGCATATAGAAAAGAATTTCCTTTAGCTCTTTCTCTGATAAGATTTTCTTATCAAGAGATTTAAACATCTACATAGTACGGTGAGAGGAGAGCAGTCACTTCTGCGGTCATTACGAGCACTACGTCCGTATAAGCACTATGTCTAAGCTATAGGAAAACCGATCACATAAAGCGGGGGGAGGCAAACTACGGCCTAAAATTAATAGCCGAAACCAGCCCACTGCTTGTATTTAAATGGCCTGCGAACTAAGAATATACTTCACATTTTTCAATCCTTGGGGAAAAATCAAGAGAATAATTGTATTTTGTGACAAAGTTATATGAAATTCAGATTTCGGCGTCTATGAATAGTTTTGAGACACAGCCATGTTTATTTAAGTTCTATGGCTGTGTTTGCACTACAACTGTGGAGCTGATTCTCTGCAATAGAGACTACACAGCCCACAGAGCCAAAAATATTTACCATTTGGCCCTTATGTGGAAACTACAAAACTTCTCAAGTTTTATTTTCTTCCTCTGTCAAATGTGCCATAATTTCTCCCCTGTCCACCTCACAGCATTACTGTGGAGAAAAGAAAACCAGACAAAGCACCCCACCATCTGTTTGTCTTCATTACCAAACGGCCTGTGCCAAGCACAGCCTTCTACATAGTATATACTAAGTAAATATTTGTTGAATGAGGGAATGAATAAAGCAGATATTCACCTACAAAACCCAGAGCTAATCTGGAGACAGACATGAAGTTACTGCAACAATGGTGATAAACTATGGTACTTGTCCTTTCTATCAAATACAGACCTCATATCCCCCAACAATCTCCTCTCTAGAGCCTAAGAATTTGGGATATTCGTGATACACACAACATCGACATGCTCGCTCATGCTTCTTCAAGGCGAATTCCGAGAGGAAGCTAACTAAAGCATTTTTCGTTAAGATCATTTATTTCCTCATTCAGCAAACATTTACTTAGTACCTGCTAAGTAGTAGGCCTGTGCTTGGCACAAGGGATACAGTGATGGAAACAACCAGAAAATGCAGCCCATTTATGTCATCTTTGTTCCCCACGGTAAATGTGTGTGAAAGCCAAGGGAGAAATCGGCCACCTCTTTAATGAGGAGGAAAAAGAGGCTTGCTTCCCTGGTGGCTCAGTGGTAAAGAATCTGCATGCCAGTGCCGGAGACACTGGCTCGATACCTGGGTCAGGAAGATCCCCTGAAGAAGGAACTGGCAGCCCACTGCCGTGTTATTGCCTGGGAAATACCATGGAGAGAGAAGCCTGGCTACAGTCCATGGAGTCACAAAAGAGTCAGACACAACTTACTGTCTGAATAACAACAGAGAGAGGTTTAATGAAGTTTTGGAATTTGCTCAAGATCACACAATTATTAATAGAAAAGGGACAGAACCAGGCTTATCCACTTCTTCCCACACAACCAAGGTACCTTTGGTGTCGTCCAGTGCAAGCAAAAGAAAGTAAATTATATTAGTACAAATGTGCACCCAGAAATTTTCCTAAATGCTCCTGGGAATGATAAGTAATTTGGTCACAGCGACTTGGTGGTCAAAGCAACTTCTGTTTTGTCATTTGAGAGTCTCACTCCTGCCATTATCTCTTAGTCTTCAAGCAATTCAGATAGTGCTTGAGAGCAGACTCTGACGCCAGACTGTCCTCATATTAATCCCCAATTCTGTTGCTTCCCATCTGTGCAGATCTGGACAATGCACAACAAGTTCTCTGAACCTCAGATCCCAGGTGTAAAATAGGCCTAATAACAGCAGCACCTTCATAGGATTAAATGACACCAACGAAGCAGAAAACTTAGCAATGGCCTTCTCTTCACACCTGATCTAGTCCTCAACACCCAGTACTACCCCATCCCATGACTGAGTTTTTCTGTTGCTTTTCACAGCTCTTCTTTCTAAAATTATCTCATTTGCTTGCTTTTATTATGTCTCCCTCACTTAAATATAAACTCCAGGATAGTATTTACTTATGGATCATGGGTCGTTGTTGTTTTTTATTCATTATTGTATTTCCTGCACCTAGGACACTGTCTGGCACACAGCACTAATTCTTAAATGAAGAGTTTAATAAACGTTTAGGACGATAATTTAGGTCTCAACTTCCCTGCATGCAAAACAGAATATTTATACTCAGATGTTGGAAAGTGCAAAAGATGTAACTGGAAAGCTCCAGGTAGTATCAGAAAGGTGACACGGAAACTAAAAAGTTTGTCACAGTGCCACAATACAATCTGCGGGACTGATTCAACCCTAAGACAACTCAGTGCTCTAGGTCAAGCCAAAGGCTGCACTCTAGGGAGTGTTGATAGACCGAGGAGGGTGCAAAACGTTAGAGGTGGATGCAAAAACACTAGCCCTTCTCTTCCTCTCTTAAACTTCCAACAGCGCACACTCCTCTAGAAAGGTTGCTCTCCGCACCTGAAGGGCCCTCAAGGGAGAAATGAGACAAGTGTAGTCAGGGACCCAAACACCCCGAAAGGGTGGCAGCAACGCTGCAATGACAGCCGTCAACTGACCAGAAAGGGAGGCAACCCGAACCTTTGGCGGGGGCCTGACGGGTGGGTCCCATGGCTTCTCCTCAGTCTAGCCAACCTCCCCCACCCCCGCTGGCAATAGGCAGAAGGAGGGGACACACTCCCCCGTTCCAGCCTGGTGCCCAGAGCATGAAGCGCGTCGGGGACAAGTTCCCAGCGCGGCCAGCAAACTCACCTCAGCCGCCGGCCCCACCTCCGCTCACATTCCGGCCCCGCCGCCTTCCCCCCGCCCCCCCAGGCCCTTTGTTTTGATTCCCGACTCCGCAGCTCCCGCCGCCGCCGCCAAGCGCACCCTCCACTTCCGCTTCCGCACCGCACCGCCCCTGTCGCAAAACCGACGCCCTTCTTTCCCCATGGCTCCGCCCCTTCCTCCGCCCCACCCCCGCCGCCGCGTCCTCGCCGCGCGGGGCGTGCTGGGAACCCCGGGGGGGGCGGGGCCTCGCGGCCCTGCAGCCTCGTCAGGCTCAGTCCCCTCCCGATAAACCTCTAAATAGGGACCTTCCCGGGGGGCTACCTCGGCTTTTTTGGCGAAAACCCCCAGTTTATGGAGGCTTTGATCCTGGCTTATCGTTGTGGCGTGGAACGGAACCTCAAAGAAGAGAATTAGGGTGCTTGTGAGGCGGAACCCGGGGAAAAAACCTGCCAACCGGGATTTGATGCCATTCAGCTCTTTCGCTCTTTTGAGGGAAGGCGATTTAAGAGGGATTTCGAAGAAAAACCCGATCGTTTGGCGTTTTTTCTCTTACTCGCTCTTGTCACGTGATGGTCCTATTAAAAAAAAAGAAAAACTAAACTAAATGACGCCTGTTTCTTATAGCGTCCTTCATCTAGTGCAACCTAGTGGTGAGCGGAAAAAAATAAAAATAACTGCCAACTGGGCTTCCCGCGAGGTCCTTCGGGCCGGCAGGGCTCCTCGGGAAGTTGTGATCCAGCTGGCAAAAATAAAGCCTGTACGAACACTAGGCTGGATTGTCACCAACAATTAAGAGGTCCTCGTGACTTAAGTGAAAAAAGAAAAAAATGATTCTTTTAAAGTCCTGGTCCAAAGCTCGTTAGAAATGAATACTTTTCCAGGGACCGGTTGGGCGAGCAAAAGACATAATTGCGAAAGCCTTGTGAAGCCAGGAACAGCTTATGTTTTAGTGGCTAGATTTGCCATGTTTGGGTTTTTTTTTGGGGGGGGGCGGTGTTTGGGGTTTTTTGGCTGCACATTCTTTACTTTTATTTGAAATTATAAAAAAATTTTTTTTTTTTTACGTAGGCAAAACAGACATTTCTGAAACTGTCAGCTGTTCACTATTTCCTGTTGCAAATTAGGAGAAAAACAAAGCACATATTTAAATCTAGACATAGTTTAGGATGCAGTAGTCGAATGCAGCGTAAAAGTTTATATCTGAAGTTTGCTAAGAAACAGGTTAACCTTGCAAAAGGATCAGTAGGTAAAAATGGCCAAAAGAGAACTTTTTTTTCCCTTAAGTATGTAGTGTGAGGCAACCTCATTAGGCAATCCACATTAAATGGGGGAGATTTCAGGGGAAGCTAATACATCCTTGTAGACTTTTTTTTTGTAGACAGGCATTGTGGAGGGCAAGATCAAACACGTAGTTTAAGAACCCTTTGTACTGGTAGTCCATTTTCCAGGGGGCCGATGACAAGTTCACACATCATCTGCCTGCTCAGGTATTTATTACTGCTGAGTAAATCTTCATTGTGTCTGTGTGTGGGGAGCATTCTCCAAGTGGGAATTAGGACTGATGAAAAGCAACCCTGTTTCTAGCGTTTTTTTCAGAGTACCAAAAAATTCGCTTCTCAAAGAGGTATTTTTTTCTTTCCTTTCTATTCTTTCTAGTGAGTATCTCTGAATACAGATAGTATTAACTAAAAATATAAAAGGAAGCCAAATAATTGTGAAATTTTTAACTGCTTTAATAAAAGGTTTAGCCGTAAATTAAAAAGCAGACACATGTCTGACATTGCCAGAGCTGTGCCTGGTGTTAACAGGTAAATAAAATACAGTAAATAAAAACAAACCAATCATACTAAATGGAAGGCTAATGAAAAGTTTGAATTACACATAGTTTTTAAAGACATAACTCTTTATTTCCTATAGAAAACTAGCCTAAACTACACTCACCCTTGCAAACACAATTATGCATCAACATGTAATTTGATGCTTGTGAAAGGGTGTTTTTTTTTTAAACATTTTTCTTAAGATATGTCTTCTCGAGCACAGCCTCTGTGAATCTATTTCTTTGATGGGCAAACTCTTTGAACAGAAAGTAAGAGTACCTCTCAGTTACCTGCCCTGTCCATATTATAATTTTCATGTTTATGAAACCAAGACTAAGATTTACTTTTGTGCAACTTCAGTGGCTGTTACATTCAATCCAGCTCCTAAATTAATCTAGCTGCCACAAAAGGCGTTTCTCCTCCAGCTACTTCTATGTTATGGTTAGTGTTTTGAAATGATAAATTATGATGGAAGGATTTAAGCAAGAGAAACCCAGCTTTCTGCTCAGTAATGTCTGAACGCTCCAAGGAAAACAAATTGAACAAAGAGAACAAAGTTTTTAAGTATACCAAAATTTCCCTTTCATTTTTTTCAAGGTTTTACCCAATAACAAACCCATTACCTAAGCATATTCCTGAGAGAAGTTTAATGATAATCATTTCAATGTCTTTTTCCTTTTATTTTTAATGGAAAAATGAAGAAAATTGAAAACCAAGTAGGTTAAAGGATAATGTCATTTAGTCAGTACTGATAAGCTCATCAACGTGTTCAGTTTATGTTAACTAGTTGGCGGGGGGGGGGGGGGGGGGGTGGTGGTGATAATTCTCTCCCAGAAACCTCACAGAATGGTGAGGTTCTGGAAAGGACAGAGCAAAAGTGACAAGAGGATGCAAATCATTTATTAGCATCTGGGGTCAGGATGGATGTTTCCTAAAAGACATTCTGATACCTTTCTTAACCCTGTTGATGTAGGTGTTAGATCCCTTTTGTGTCTCTGAGCTGCTTTCAGGAACTAGCAAGGAGTCAAAGAAGAATTAGGGTTTTTCCGGTGCCTCAGAGGTAAAAGAATCTGCCTGCAATGCAGGAGACCCCAAGACACAGGATCCATCCCTGGGTCTGGAAGACCCCTTGGAGAAGGAAAAGGCAACCTATATATACTGGAGATATATCTATTTCCAGTATTCTTGCCTGGAGAATCCCATGGACAGAGGAGCTTGGTGGGGCTACAGCCCATGGGGTCGCTAAAGAGGTGGAAATGACTGAGTGACTTAACAACAACAAAGAGGAATTCAAGGCCATTCTTAACCATGGCAGGGATACAGGAGGGATTCCATGTCTAGTTGGAGGCCTCAAAGTAGCCAAAATCTCTCTGCCTCCAGTATCGTGACAAACAACACTGGTTAGGAGTCAAACATACCCAGCTTTACAGCCTGATTTGTTATTGACTGTTTGTTATTGTTGCGACCTTGGACAATGCATTTAAACTTCCTACACTTTTGCTTTCTCATCTTTAAAGTGAAGACAAAAAGTTCTTTGCTGTGGTTCTCATCATCTGGGTCTCAGCTCCATTGTAACCTGGTATAGTGGCCTTCCCTGACATTCTATCTGAAGGGACCTCTCCCAGCCCCTTTCTATTACATGACCTTGCTTTAGTCATAGCACTCATTAGCATCTGAAATTATTTCACATTTTCTGTTTGCTGATTTAGTGTCCTTTCTTAATACTACAAGCCCTTTGAAAACAGGTGTCTTGTTTGACACTTATTGTGCTATAAGTGAGTGCTCAGCAAAGATTTATAAACCTACCTGGTGAACAAGTAGGACTGCTGAGAAACCCACATCAAGAAATTAGTATTATGCCTGACACAGACGGTGGTGGTTTAGTCACAAAGTGGTGTCTGTTGCTTGCCACCCCATGGACTGTAGCCCATCAGGCTTCTCTGCCCATTGGATTTCCCAGGCAAGAGTACTGGAGCAGGTTGCCATTTCCTTCTCCAAGGGATCTTCCCCACCCAGGAATCCAACCTGGGTGTCCTGCATTGCAGACAGATTCTTTACTGAGCTACCAGGGACCAGTAAAAACAGTCATGATCACTACCTACATTTTTTGTTGTTCGGTTGCTCAGTTGTGTCCGACTCTTTGCCACCCTGTGGACTGCAGAATGCCAGACTTCCCTGTCCTTCACTATCTCCCAGAGTTTGCTCAACCTCATGTCCATCGAGTTGATAGTGCTATCCAACCATCTCATCCTCTGTTGCCCCCTTCTACTCCTGCATAGATTGTACTTAACTATGTGCTGAGGCACTGTCTAAACGTTTTACAAATGCTAAGTGAATCCATTTCATCTCTGCATAATCCTAGGGGTAGAATCCTGTCATGAATTCCATTTTATAGATGAGGAAAGTAAATCACAGAGAGTTAACTTGCCCTAACCAAATCAGTCAATCCTAAAGGAAGTCAGTCCTGAATATTCACTGATGTTGAAGCTTCAATACTTTGGCCACCTGATGTGAAGAACTGACTCATTGGAAAAGACCCTGACGCTGGAAAAGACTGAAGGCAGGAGAAGAAGCGGACGACCGAGGATGAGATGGTTGGATGGCATCACCCACTAAATGGACATGAGTTTGAGTAAACTCCGGGAGTTGGTGATGGACGGGAGGTCTGGCGTGTTGCAGTCATGGGGTCGCAAAGAATCCATCATTGCTGAGCGACTGAACTAGTCGACTGAACTTGCTCAAGATCATACTACTAGGGCAGAGCTAGGATTCAAGGCAAGGCCCCCAAACAAACTCCTATAAAAGGAGCTTTACTGCCTTTGAAGAAGATAATGATGTCGAAATTTTTATCTTGGTTGTAAAGTTCTGGGAAGGACCTGGGACATTGCTTACTCTAAGCGGACGTACATCTTTGTTCTTCTATCTGCTTTCGGGGAAATCCAAGAACAGAAAAATGCAATCGGGGTCAAGGGCAGGGAGTCATATTTTCTTGAAATGGCCCGCAAGTCCAAGCCCGTTCCCCCGGTGTCTAGGGAGCAGCCCGCAGCCTCCAAGCCCGGCCAGAACCCTGCCCAGCAGCGGGAGCCTCCCAGAACCCCTCCCGCCAGCCCGCCTCGGGCCGCCGCGTGGCCGCGCCGCGCCCGGGACCTGGGAAAAAAAGTTTCCAAAAGGCGCTGCTCGGCGCTGATTGGCCGCAGCGGACGCGGTCCCGGGGCGCGGCAGCCAATGGATGACGCCGGCCGCGGACGCGGAGGCGGGGGCGGCGGCCGGAGGCCGGGGGCTACACCGCCTCCCGCCGCCGCCGCTGGTCCGCAGAGCCAGAGCCGGTAAGTGCGGGGCTGCGGCCCCCGGGGTAGGGGTTGCTCGGAGGCTGCCGCCGCCGCCGCCGTCCTCATCATCGCCACGGCCGCGGGGAAAACTCTTCTGCCCGCGCGGCGCCTGCCGCTCTCTCGGGACCCCCGGCCGCCGCCGTGCAGGGAACTTGGCGCGCCCCTCACTTGGGCGTCTCTTCCCGGGCGCTGGGCTCGAAAAATCGCGCTTCTCCGGAGCCTCCCTTCCTAACTTTGTGCCTTCCCACCCTTGCGTCCTGCGCGCCCGTCTCCTCACCCTGTCGCCAACTTTCTTTCTCTTTCTGCGCCCTCCTCCCTGCTTCATTTCCTCGGCCCTTCTGCCCTGCTCGTCCCGGGTCCCCGGAGCCCGGTTGCTCTGCCCTGTTCCTTTCCACCACCCTACCCCCGGCACCCCGACATCCTTCCTAGAGTCCCCTGGTCTTCCTTCTTGCTCAGTTTTCTGCCCCGCAGCTCTCGCCCTTTCCTCCTGCTGCCCCCACCTCCTTCTCCGTCCTTGTAGCCCCTCGCCGCCCCCATTCTCGCCCACGTCCCCACCCCGCTGCCGCCCTCGGCTGAGGCCTTTTTCCAAAAACCTCCCCCCTCCTTGGCACTCCCCTCCCTTTGGGAACGTGTTTGGAACGGTCTTGCTCCCTCCGCCTTTCTCAGATCTCTGCTGCAGGACGGTTCAGATTTCCCCTAACAGCACTTTGGGGAAGGATCGGATAAAGGATGAAAACGCTTCTTCTAGAGCTTGAATGCGGTGGCTGGGGTTACCTGCCTCTGGGGTCATAGGAAACCCTGGACACTGCTTTTTTGGGGGGAACCTAAAGTTATCTTCTCCAGTCCTCTCAAGTTCACTGTCTCCTGAGGGCTTGACCTTCCCTGATTTCTTGGTCCAGGGTTTGTACCTGGTTGTGCCTTTCTCTACTTTTAGGTCCCTTTAAATTCCTTTCTAAAGAAATGGCCTGTGCAGCCTGTGCTGGACAGAAATTTCTGATTTTCTCTGAGTTTTGTTGATGTATTTTAGGAAAGGATGGCATTGTAGGGTGTGTGTGTGTGTGTGTGTGTGTGTGTGTGTGTGTGTGTGTGTGTGTGTGTGAATGAGTTGCTTGTGCATGCTGTGTGCTAAGTCACTTCAACTGTGTCTAACTCTTTCTGATCCTGTGGACTGTAACCCACCAGGCTCCTCTGTCCATGGGAGTCTCCAGGCAAGAATACTGGAGTGGGTTGCCATTCCTTCTCCAGGGGATCTTCCCAACCCAGGGATCCAACCCGAGTCTCCCACATTGCAGGCGGATTCTTTACCATCTGAGCCACTGGGGAAGCATAGGATGTGGGTAGGGTCCTTTGAAGGGTAATTGGAGTCCGGCGACTCTCAGAGCCCCTTGTAATCTAATCTCTGACCTGTCCCGCCGCGCCCCCCCCCCCGCCGCCGCCCCCCTACAACGGCCACCACGGGTATTTCACCACTTCTGAAACTTAAATCTTTCCTCTTGGTGTGTCTTTTGTGTCAGATTAGATGCAGATGATCCATTGCTCCTACAGTGTCAGAGGCCTCTGGTTGGTGTCTTTTATCCCATTTTGGATAAAAATTTCTTAACTTCGCTTATTCTGTTAGGATGTTATTTTTGTTTCTGGAATGTGTTCTTTTGCTTTAGAACCTGTGAGGCCAGAGAGATTGCACTCCCTTTGCTCATAAGATAATTCCTTAACAGGACTGTGCTGGTAGACAGAAAGTTTTGTCTGCAGCTTGTGCAGTTTGCACCTCGTCCTGCTCTAGGTGCTTTGGGTCTGATGTGCTCAGCAGTACTTAGTAGGTGTTGGGAAATGTTTGGAAAGGAAGAGACTACACCACTGTAGGAAAAGCTCCCTCCCTGGCATCTTGGTTCAGTAGCATAAAATTCTCCTTGGACAGTAGCTTTCTGGTTTTTTTTGTTGTTGTTCACTTTTAAGCTCCTTAAGATTTCAAAAGCAATATATGCTTATTGTAAAAAAACATTTATTGTAGTAGGTGTCAGGAACAAGTTCTCATCTTAGTGTCTGCCTTAATCCCATTCTGGTACCTCCTTCCAGACCCTTTTCTGTTTGTGTACACAGAGGAAGGTATATTTGCAAATAAAAATGGCACCTTTTTTTTTCCTTTTTTACACTTTAAACTTTTTATTTTGTATTGAGGTATAGCCAGTTAACAACATTGTGGTAGTCTCAGCTGAACAGCGAAGGCGTTCAGCCATACATGTACATGTATCCATTCTCCCCAAACCCCGCTCCTATCCAGGCTGCCACATAACATTGAGCAGAGTTCCATGTGCTGTACACTAGAAAAATGGCACTTTCTTAACATAAACTTTCTTCCATATCATTACTTTTAATTCTTCTTAACTGCACAGTTTTCTGATCAGTCTTCAGTTAAGTTTCTCCAGCTCCCCCTCATTATTACCCTCAGTGATGGTGTACACCCTTGAGCATATGTCCTTGCATGCCTGCTGAGGTTTTTTTGTGGGTAGATCATTTCAGACTTTGAAAGCACCGAGCAGAAGTCAGACTTGCTGACTCTTGACTGATTTTGCCCCAGTGATGTCACTTATGCAAAATGTAAAGCCTGCGTCATAAAGTGGAAGCTGTGGGAGCCTGTGCTGGCCTTGGGCAGCTTCTTTCTCCTCCTCTCCCATGTGTTTTTTGATTGGGAAGGAGTGTGGTTGGGGTGGAGAAGTTAATCCCTGATGATTTGTAGGTGTGGATTGCTCCTGACCAGCTGTGCTGGCTTTCTTCAGTCAGAAGAGAGCTGAGAAAGACTGCTTTGTCTTTTCTAGAGTTTTGAAATCAAAGGTGTGTGTCTCAAGTGTGTTTTCAGACTTTCCTAATAAGTTTAATCATGGAAAACATGCCAAAAAAAAAAAAAATCTTGCTGAAATGCTTTTGTAAGAGTAATAGATCTAAGTTATCCAAAACAGAAAATAAATATCTCTGGGACCACTAGATCCCAGTTTGTGCTTGCACGCTGTAGCACATATATTTGAGGTGCCCAGTGGTTTGCCCACAGAGCTGCTGGGACAGGATGCGGCAGGATGGTGTATTGAGAATGCGAGTTAGCAAGCCAGATTTCCTTGACACAGATGCAATAAATGCATGCAGTATCCAGTTTGAAGATAGTGGGTACAAACTTGTGTATGCTATGACTACTCACTGACACCTGCCTGTCACAGTGCTTTTTAAAAGACCGCTTGGCCCAAAAACAGAATCTGATTTCTGTGCAGTCTATCGGCAACCCCAAGGAGACCTTGAATTTGAATTCAAAGCCTCCCTTGCACTTGGGTCTCATTTGCCTCTGTCACTCCTTTGCATCTATGGAGATGGCCAAGACATGTAATGTTTCTGCTCCAGCTTCCCAAGAAGCCCAGTGATTGCCTTACCAATCCCTGGGTCGGGAAGAGCCCCTGGAGGAGGGCATGGCAACCCACTCCAGTGTTCTTGCCTGGAGAATCCCATGGATAGAGGAGCCTGGCGGGCTACAGTCCATAGAATCAGAAAGAGTTAGACACAATTGAAGTGACTTAGCACGTGTGCGTGTACACATACACTCTCTCTCTCCAGCATCTTAGAGGTAAACAGAAAGGGTCAAGTTGTTTGGAAATGACATATTAAATGCCTAGCACCCCACAAACAGAAGATGATGATAAACTTGAGTAAATAATGCTAGGAAAGGGGAACCTTTGCCAGTCATCTTGCCTGCTGTCTGTGGCAGACAAGACTGTGCGGTTAGAACTTTTCTGAGATATTTTCAAGTGGAAAAAAAGAAAGGTTTAGATTTTTAAGTGTGGTGTTTCATAAGAAAGTGAAGTTGAGCTGTTATTTCTTTCCTCTTAGCCTTGAGCATCATCTTCTTCCCTCAGGGGTGTTTTTAAAATGCAGGGGTTGTAATTAGAGCCACAGTGGAAGCGCCTCCTAAAACATCTCAATTTCATTTCTTTACTAAGGCTTAAATTCTAAGCCTCGCTGGCCATGATCACAGTGCCCTTTTCTAAAACTCATCCGTGGTAAGACTGCAGGATGAAGGTTATTAAAACTCCAGTAACGGTACTGAATATTCCTTATCATGTAAACCTGGGAAGTGAGTAGTTTCCAACATGACACCCTGTCCTTCAGCCCCTTTCCATCAATGAGATGCCACTCGGGTGCTAAGCAAGAAAGGTTTTTCCCCATCCTATTAAGTACCTTTCTCAGCCATTTGGCTAAGATCAGGTGTGGTATGGTGGTTTCCCAGGTGGCACAGTGGTAAAGAATCTGCCTGCTGATACAGAAGACGCAAGAGACAGGATCAATCACTGGATCAGGAAGATCTCCTGGAGAAGGAAATGGGAAACCACTCAGTGTTCTTAACTGGACAATCCCATGGACAGAGGCGCCTGGAGGGCCATAGTCCACGGGGTTGCAAAGAGTCAGACACGACTGAACGACTGAGCACGCAGATACACATTAAGTATCCTAAAGATTTATAGAAACTAGCCTTCAGAGGGTCTCTTGCTTCTTTTTCTTAATCTCACATCCCCTTCCAGCGAGTGGTCAATCTCTATGTTCCCCTGTGTTTTTTCCTTCTGCAAGCATTTATTGAATGCCTGTTATATGCCAGACACTGTTCACGGCATTGGGAATTAAAAAAAAACCCGATGGTGAGGGTCCCTGTGCTCAAAACTGATATTCCAGTTGTTGCTGTTCAGTCACTCAGTTCAGTTGTGTCCGACTCTTTGCGAACCCCATGGCACGCCAGGCTTCCCTGTTCTTCACCATCTCCTGGAGCTTTTTCAAACTCAGGTCCATTGAGTCGGTGATGCCATCCAACCATCTCATCCTCTGTCGCCCCCTGTCGTCCCCTTCTCCTCCCGCCTTCAATCTTTCCCAGCATCAGGGTCTTTCCTAATGAGTCAGCTCTTTGCATCAGGTGGCCAAAGTATTGGAGCTTCAGCATCAGTCCTTCCAATGAATATTTAGGGTTGATTTCCATTAGGATTGACTGGTTTGATCTCCTTGCAGTCCAAGGGACTCTCAAGAGTCTTCTCCAACACCACAGTTCAAAAGCATCAATTCTTTGGTGCTCAGCCTTCTTTATAGTCCAATTCTCACACCTGTACGTGACTGTTGGAAAAAACCATAGCTTTGACTAGACGGACCTTTGTTGGCAAAGTAATGTTTCTGCTTTTTAATACGCTGTCTAGGTTTGTCATAGCTTTTCTTCCAAGGAGCATCTTTTAATTTCATGTCTGCAGTCACCATCTGTGGTGATTTTGGAGCCCAAGAAAATAAAGTCTGTCATTGTTTCCATTGTTTCCCCTTCTATTTTCCATGAAGTGATGGGACCGGTTGCCATGATCTGTCTGCATTTTTTGAATGTTGAGTTTTAAGCCAACTTTTTCAGATAAAACAGAAACACAACTCATAAAGTGATGAAATAAAATGAAGCAGGGCTTAATGTGGCAGTGAAGGGCTGGAGGAGGTATTTGGGGGGGATCTTCAGAGAAGGTCTCTCTGGGGAAGATGGTTCAGCTGAGGTCTAAATGGCAAGAAGGGAATCTGCGGGCAGAGATCTGAAGGAGGTGCATTCCAGGCAGAGAGAGCAGCTGGTGCAAAGGCCCTGAGGTAGGAGCACGCTTGGTATGTTCAAGGAACAGAAAGAAGGCAGCGTGACTGCAGCATAAGCAGGTGAGGGGCAGGGCTGTAGGAAATGTTTAGAGAAGTAGGCACGGACTCATGATGATGAACTTGAACATGAGCTTTTCCCAAGCAGCAGGAAAAGTCAGTGTACATTCACTGTTCCTGATTCCTGACTTTCTCACCCTCCTGTACACCTAGTTCCCCCCATGCCGTGTGGTTGCGACTGTCCACACAATCATCAGTGGCCACACGGCACTCAGTCACGATTGCGTGGGCTCTGGGCTCTGAACACTGTAGACGTTTGTCTGGTAACCTCATACTAGATGAGCCCAGGGCTCATTAGAGCTTGTGGCTTGAGCAGGGATTACCAGAATTAGGTTTGCCCTTGCCTGTCACCGTGGTAATTACTGTTATCTACACTCTAGGTGCTCTTATCCTTTCCACTTTCAGTAGACAAGATGGTTCACTCCAAACATTCATTAGGCCTCTCTGGTAGCAGAAACCCAGGCCTAACTGGTACACCCAAGAAAGGAAGTTGATTACCCCTCCTCACCTTCATTCGGGGATGACTGGACCCAGGTGTCCACCTCTTGGCCCTGCTTTCTTGTTTTGGCTTCATTCTCAGGCAGGCGCCTCCCTTGTGATGGAGATGACCACCACGAACCCTAATGGAAAGAGAGTTTCTTCTCCACTCCTCCCACCACGGATCCCGGCTTTATGGAGATAAAATTGACATATCACATGGTGATTTGAGACATGTATATATTGTGAAATTATCTTTTTTTTTTAAACATTTATTTTTATTTATTTGGCTACATAGAGTCTTAGTTGTGGCATGTGGGATCTAGTTCCCTAACCAGGGATCGAACCCAGCCCCCCTGTATCAGGAGCGCAGAGTCTTAGCCACTGGACCACCAGGGAATTCCCGTGAAATTATCTTTATAGTAAGGTTAGTTACACCTTCAGAGAGTTTCTTTCTTGATAGCTCTTTCAAAGGCCTGGGCCTGGACACTCACTGTCTCAGCTTGGATTAGGTCTACCCCTGAACCAGTCATTGGCTCAGCTGGGGTTAGGCCCATCTTTGTAACTCATTCAGCCTGGGTTAGGCGCACGTCTGATCCAGTCGTTGGCTTAACTTGAGTTAGGCTGATCCTTGTCATTGGTTCAACTTGGGTTAGACCCACCCTTGTCATTGGGTTCAGCTTTGGGATAGTCCCACCTCTGAGCCTGATGCCATCTCCTGAGTGCAGAGGCTGATGACAAGTCCACCTGAGCCCCATGGAAGGAGTGTGGAGTTGGTTCCCCCAAGACAACATTGGGGTGCTGTTATAAAAAGATGGAAGAAGGGATGCCAGACTGGGGGAAAAATCAAGTTAACAACTTTCTGCTCCCTCTAGCTTCTCTGCTTTGATCAAGCTCTCAGAGAAACTCTGTTCCCCAGAAGGGAGTGGGTGGGGACATGGCATGTTTTTTTCTGAATCAGGGAAGGGCGAGAAATTTGAAGGGAGAGATGTGAATACAGGTCCTAACAGATGTAGAGTTGTCAGCAAGTGCTTTACTCAGATGCAGGTATTGTTGTTCAGTTTCTACCAGGGACCCACCTGGTTGATGATCATGTCCGTGTCAAAACTGACATATTTAGCGGAATGATTTGTACTTTTTACCTAGATTTGGCTTGTTAGTTATGTCTTGCAGAGTTGGAGGTTGTGTTCCTTCTTTTTGTCCCCAAGATAGCTCAGAACCGTGAGCTATCTTGAAGGGAAGAAGGGACTTTAGAGGAATCTCATTTGAATTCCTAATAACCTTTTGACAAACAGAGTCTTAAACAAATTGAGAAAATAAGCTATTACATTGAGAAGCGCTATCAGCAAGGAGTCCAAGGACTGATAAGTGTTAATAGAAATCTGTTCCTGACCTCTGCCCCGATAGGTCTGCCCTGGATAGCTCAGCATCTTCAGAGCCTCAGGCCCTTATCACCACTCCCCTCTGCTGTTCGACTAAAGTCGAGTTCGACTCTTTGCCAACCCATGGACTGCAGCACGCCAGGCTTCTCTGTCCTTCACTGTCTCCCAGAGTTTGCTCAAACTCATGTCCATTGAGTCAGTGATGCCATCCAACCATTTCATCCTCTGTCATCCCCTTCTCCTCCTGCCTTCAATCTTTCCCAGCATCAGGGTCTTTTCCAATGAGTCGGCTTTTCGCATCAGGTGGCCAAAGTATTGGGGCTTCCGCTTCAGTCCTTACAGTGAATATTCAAGGTTGATTTCCTTTAGGATTGACTGGTTTGATCTCCTTGCTGTCCAAGGGACTTTGTCTAATTTGTCTCCTTTCTTCTCATACCCAGTTCTCCAAAATCCTGTCTACTTCCTCTTCCTTGTCTCCCAGTCACTCTTCCACCCCTTCTATCCCTCCTCCCGGTGTTGAAACCATTCTTGCTTACATCACCAGTGACCGACATTTCACCAAGTCTCGTGGGTGGATATTTTCCAGAGCTCATCTTACTAGCTTCTCTCTTGCATCTTGGATACCATGGACCATTCATTCCCCATTTTCCCCTTGAAACTGTCTCCTCCCAGGGTAGTCCCTCTTCTGGTTCTCATCCCTTGCACTTGTTTCTACTGTCTCCTTTCATCACCGGTTCTTTCTTTGCTCAGCGTTCAGATACTGGCATTCCTCAGAGTTCCATAAATAATCCTCAGTGGATTCTTCGATGGTTCAGTCACAAGAAAAAGGGAAGAACCAGCTACAAACTCATAACTTAAATTTCTGTTGTTAGCCCGGACTTCACCCCGAGTTTCAGATCCGGTGTTACATCTTGATGGATCACAGGCCAATCCAACTAAAAGTGTCCGAAGCTGGTATCAAGTATCCCCTCACCGTGCAGACTTCCCTCCTGACATTCTCCATCTGTGGTGAAGGAGATGGTGGAGGCACCTGGTTGTCTAAGTTAGAAACCCTAAGCTGCCCTGCTCTCCCCTTCCCTCCGATGTAATAAAATCAGCAAATCCTGGTAGGTATATCCATCCATGGAATGTAACATATTGTAATATAATGTAATGAATGTAATGTAAATAATGGACTGTAGTCTGTCTGGGTTTAGTTTTTAAGTTTTTTGGCTTTTTTTTTTTTTTGGCCACATTTAATCCAACATAAAGTTCAGGAATTTTCTCCCACCTCTGTTAAAGATCAGCTGTTTAACCAGATATGGGTAATAGCTTTAAAACTTTCTCTCCTAGACATTATGCACCAAGAGGAGTGACCTCTTACCCCCGTTTCCACAATGGCGGACTCGGGCAAGACCTTCAGCTCCGAGGAGGAGGAAGCCAACTATTGGAAAGACCTGGCCATGACCTACAAGCAGAGGTCAGTTCTCCCAAGCTCACCTTGCGTTTTCTTCCCACAGTGACGGCCTCGAACATTTACTGCGGGCCTGCTGTGTGCCAAGCCCTGTGAATAAGTGAACATACATCATCTCAATTAAATCTCCATGGTGGCCCGTGGAGAAACCATTCTCACCCCATTTTACAAATGGGAGACTGAGCCTCAGTGACAGCAAGTAATTTGTCTAAAAGGCACACAGCCGGGGTGGGAGGAGGCGGGGGCAGCAGACCTGTGATTTGGACCCCAAAGCCTAGGGTCCTAAGCATAGGGCTGTGCTATTCCCAGCTTATCTTCTGGCAGAGTTTTTTGTTTGTCTGTTTCTTTGTTTAAGTGTAAACGGTTTCTTTTTATTCTTTTTATTGTTGCTGTTTTGTAACATAGGCAAAATTATTTAAGGCAATAAATTTTTAAGGAATTTCTCATGTTCTGATTCTTTCCACTGCCAATCACCTTAGTTCCTCCATAGTTATACTATTCAAGATAAGTAAACTGTGAAAAACTCAACATTCAGACTTTTTAAATCTTAGGTATTACCATATCCCAGTGATCTGTACCCCTCTATTAATAGGGTGTGACGGCTTAGGAATGAATATGATTTGAATTTAACACATTTTTAGAGAGTATCAAATTGTGGCAGTGTTTTATCAACTCCTAGATGCATTATCTGGTCAGCCCTTGGTGTGTGGGAGAGAACTTCTCCCTAATCTAGCAGTCTAGGTTGTTACAAGATTTTAAATTTGAAACCGGTGTTTCAGTGCCCCTATCTGGGAGCTGTGGGTGTGTGCTTAACATTGTTTCTCATGGATTTTTGTAATCTGCTCAGGCAGGCCTTATTCTAGCCCCTCTAAGGCTCTTGTTCAAGCTCTTTATTCTTAGTTTGATTTAAAGTGAAAGTGAAGTCGCTCAGTCTTGTCCGACTGTTTGCGACCCCATGGACTGTAGCCTACCAGGCTCCTCCGTCCATGGGATTTTCCAGGCAAGGATGCTGGAGTGGGTTGCCATTTCCTTCTCTAGGGGAATCTTCCTGACCAAGAGATCGGACCAAAGTCTCCCGCTTTGCAGGCAGACGCCTTACCATCTGAGCCACCAGGGAAGGGCTTGTTTTTTTAAAAAAAAAAAAAAGCCTTGAATTTTAAGGATTGAGAAGCCAGAATTGGGTATTTGGGATATGGAGCCAGGGACCCTAGGTAGTGGTATGGTAAGTGAACCTTTGTATTATGTCCAGTTTCTGCTTGTAAATAACTCTGCAGAGAGTATACAGTCTGAAGTATATTTACTGTATGTTGGGTCCCAGAAGATACACATCGAATGAATGAGTGGACGGTGGGTTGGTTAAGAAAGGGCTGTGGTCGGGCACACGTGGGCGCGGCTCCACGCTCTTTCTCTGACTCATTTGACCTTGAGACGTGCGTGTGTGTGCTCAGTCGCTTCAGTCGTGTCCGACTCTGTGACCCCATGGACTGTGGCCCGCCAGGCTCCTCTGTTCACGGGTCCTCCAGGTAAGGGGACTGGAGTGGCTTGTTGCGCCCTCCTCCAGGGGGTCTTCCTGACTCAGGGACCGAACCTGCATCGCTTAGGTCTCCTGCATTGGCAGGTGGGTTCTTTACCACTAGCGCCGCCTGGGAGGACCTTGAGACAGATGACCTCATCATCTGTATCATGCGGAGTTGAATAAAGAGCAGATCGCGTCTAAGACTCAGCAACGCGTAAGCGCTCAGTGATGAGCTGATATCTGGGAATCCTGCAGGGCAGAGAACACACAAGAGGAGCTCCGGGAATTCCAGGAGGAAAGCCGGGAATACGAGGCGGAACTGGAGACCCAGCTGCAGCAAACTGAGAGCAAAAACAGGGACCTGCTGATGGAAAACAGCCACCTTCGCATGGAGCTGGAGACCATCAAGGTGAGGGGTGGGAGGAGACACACCCAGGTGTGTGGGTGGGCGTCCGCACCCTTGACCAGAGAAGGGAGCCTGTGGGTGTGGCCCTGGCCCAGGCTCCCTCCCACCCCCAGAACTGCAGGCATGAGGGGCCCTTGAGCTCCCAACGCCCCTGTAAGAGACAGAGGATGAGACGGTTGGATGGCATCACCGACTCCATGGACATGAGTTTGCGTAAACTCCAGGAGTTGGTGGTGGACAGGGAGGCCTGGCGTGCTGCAAGCCCTAGGGTTGCAAAGAGTCAGACACGGCTGAGCAACTGAACTGAACTGAACTGAAGACAGGTCTCACACGTGTCTGGTGGCCATGCTTAGCAATCCCACAGCACATGTGGAAGGTAGACTTTTCTAGAGTATGGATCACGGCTGGAATTGCTGATTGTTTAAGGCCCAGGGTTATGCTGTCCGGAATGCCACGTGTGGCAATTGACATTTAAGTTTAATGAAAGTAAAATAAACAGCAGTTTAATTCCTCAGTCTTACTAGCCACCTCTCAAGTGCTCAGTAGCCACACGTCTCTAAGTGGGTGTCAGTGTGAATGTAGAGGCTGTAGAATGTTTCCATCATTGTGGAAAGTTCTGTTGGGCAGAACTCAGGCTCCTCGGCCCGGGCTCTCTTGACATTTGAAGCCACATGACTCTTTGTTGCCAGGGCTGAGTTTTACGTTGCGGGGTGTTCAACAGCATCCCTGGTCTGTACCCACTAGACACCAGTAGCACCTCCTGCCTCAGGTGGCGACCGCAGAAGTACCTGCAGACATTGCCGAGTATCTGGAGAACCACTGCTCTGAGAAGTAAAGACTGAACACTCTGTACGACTTAGCAGATGCTGGCGAAGTGTTACGTTGGCCTTAGAGACGGCTCTCGGCTCTCCCTGTCAGGCAGGGTCACCTGGCCGGCTTTGTAAACATCAGATGGGCCTGACCCCACCCTGCCCTGAGATTCTGGTTCTCAGGAACTCTGGGTGGGGCTCCAGCAGGCCTGTGTGTGTGTTTTTTTCTTTCTTAATTTCTTTTTTTTAAAAGAGAGCTGCTCCTATTTATTTTGGGGGGGGGGGGAAGAGCCAAGGTCCTGCAGGGTGAGCCCAGGGCTAGGTGTGATGCGCAGGAAAGAGGTGTGCCCCTGGCTTCTGGAAGCCTCGTGGGGAAGACAGACATGACAGCTGGAAGCATTTAGCAAAACGATGCTCAGACACAGGCAAGAATGAACGTCAAGTGGACCTTGGGAATCCGGCTTTACTAGCACACAGGAGAAAGTGGGGCCAGCAGATGGACTGGGGATTGAGGGGTGAGGAGTAGCGGAGGAAAGACCCCACAGACTTTGGAAGCTGAACGGTGGACTCAGAGCTTTAATGGTGTAGACCCCAGAGCCCAGGCTAGCCATCCACAGGTCAGTCTGGCCCATAGATGTGGTTTGCTTAAGCCTTTGGTGGTTTTCACTCAACATTTTATCATGAAAGCTTTCAAGCACATGGTCCGGTTGGAAGAATTTCCCAACGAACAACTGTATATCCACCACCTTGGCTCTGCCAATGACCTCTGCCAAACTTGCTCTTTATTATCTGTCCGTCCATCAGTCTGTCTTCCCAGGCATTTCAAAGTGAATCACCAACTTCTGTATGCTTCCCTGTAAATATTGCAGTAGGCTGTTAACTAGAGGTGAAGGTTTGCTTGTGGTTCAGAATTCTTTTGATAGTAACATTTGTCTCTTTAATGGTTTTTTAAAAAAATATTTAATACCTACATTCAGAATTGTGAGGCTTCTTGTAAGAACTTGGATTTCCAGTTTCCTTTGGTCTTCCTCTGGGTGGCTCCTGCCACCCCAGCCTGGCCTTCGTCCATACCCGCAAAAGGCAGAGTCGTGGTTGCTTAGGGCAAGGTCACCCCAGTCCCAGCTACTGGCCCCGCATCTCCCCAACTCTGACGTCGGGGGCTGAGTGTCATCTGTGGGTTACACCTGGCCCACGTCGCTCATTTTGTTAACAGCCTGACTGCTGCCCTAGGCACTGGGGAACCAGGACAGCTTTCACACTGAAGGGGGGTCAGGGCTGGAAGACCGGTGGTTTGAACCATGGTTTGGAGAGGTTAGGAGGACTAGCACAGATGCTGATAAATGTGCATTTGCTAAGTAATTAACCACTTCCAGACCAAGCCCTTGAACTGGCAGAAGACCTCTCTGTGAGGTTTGTGAGCCACAGGGAGAGGAAGGGGACGACCTCGGAGTGAAGACCGGCCCACTGCACATATTTCTGTCACCGAAGAGAAAAGTCTTCAACTGAGTCAGACTCCTTGACAACTGGCTTGTTCATCGCCAGATGAATAAAAAAGCTTGTAAGGGATCCAACAGAGCGTCTATTGATGCCTCCATCAGCTGACAGTTTATTATAATTAGCCCCAGATGAAAGCCCAACAGCTTTTTCATGTCCCCACGTTCAAAGGACATCATTTGAATCTCTGTGCTGGTGGACAAGCCCCGTTAACCGCGTCCTCTGGGAACCCACGTAGGAATTTAGGTTAATGACCTGGGATCCTGTACCCTCCTGTTTTATTTTGGGGGTGCACCCAGGCCAAGGGTGGACGCGATCAGAGCCACGCCTGGGAATTCGCCCGAGCCTGGGCCGGCTCGGCCCCTGCTTGTCGGAGTTGGGATGCTTCCTGTGCTCCCAGCCAGGAAACAGAGCATCTGAGGAGACTGAGTGGCTGAGGACGGACACCCCTGCCCTGTAACCCTCTGTCTGTCCTGAGGCCCTTCTCCTCTCACGAAGGCTCTGGCCACGCCTTTCTGGCCCCGGGCACCATTACCTCACCCTCCCCAGAGCCTCCACACTGTTCTTAGCAACAGCTTTGTGTACGGACTGACTGAGGAAAGACAGGAGTTGGCTTGTTTTTAACTTTCAAATTAGGCTCAGGCCTTTCCTGTGGGCAGGGAGTATCTTCGTTCCTCTGTGTAGACGGCGGAAAGCTGGTGAGATTGTTGGATGACAGACAATAATTTGAAAGCTGAGCCAGACAGGGAGAGCATGGGAGTGTGTGAGTGTGTATGCACATGTGTGTGATCAGTTCCATGGTGAACCTAGGCAGAAGTGGTCCAGGGCCGTTGAGCATTGTTGTTCTGCGAGCGTGAGCCCGGGTGGCCCAGGATGGGTCTTGGCTCAGCCGTTTGCTCCCGGTTGACTCTGGGCTGATGATGGGCCTGAGCCTCAGTTCTCACACCTCGGAAATGGCGTTCAGTCAGGCAGCGGGAGGGGTGTCCTGAGCCCAGAGGCTCGCTCAGGGTAGCCTGAGGTAAATGTTGCCGTTTAGTTGCTGAGACCCCATGGACGTAGCCCGCCAGGCTCCTCTGTCCATGGAATTCTCCAGGCATCAATACTGGAGTGGGTTGCCATTTCCTGCTCCAGGGGATCTTCCTGACCCAGGGATCAAACCCCCATCTCCTGCTTGGCGTGAGTCATTTACCACTGAGCCGCCAGGGAAGCCCACAGTACACGTTAGCTGCTGTCACCGGGGCCAGCAGATTCCTGAGAATTCATCTGAGAGGTTCCTTGCCTCAGAAAGCACCGGCCAGGTCACTAAGCTTCTTTTGGTAAAAGCAACAGTTACGGTTTTTTCCTTCTTATCTTCCCTTCCTCCTTCCTCCCTGCTCTTCCCCCCTCCCCAGAGGTGCCTAGGTTCCTTCTAAATACCCCATGCCACAGGGAGAGCATCCCGGGTCACAAAGTCAGAACAGTCATTGAACACAGTCCTGCTCTGACTGTGACGCATGAGCACCAAAGTCACTGGGATTTCTGCTCTTGTTCCTGTAACCCAGGGATGTCACGTGAAGGGCGTCAGTATTGCTCTTGCGGGTCAGGCTCAGAGAGGTTGATGATGCTTTCTATGGCTGTGGATACCTTGCACAGAATGACTGAAGATGGTTGGGGGCTTCTGGACACCAGAGGCGGCAGGGACCATTGTGGGAGGGGGCCAGGTGCAGACAGATGCTCAGGAAGCACTCAGAACTGGACAGCGCCTGGCTCCCCCCATCATCCCTCACTCGCTTAAGAGCCCATGTCTGTGGACAGAAGGGTCTCCTGACTGAGCTTAGGCTTGTCTCCTGGCCGTGGTGGAGGCTGCGAGAGGTCCTCAAGAAATTGGGGTGTCGGCGGGCTGTGCAGGGGGGAGGAATGGATGCTTAGTGGCTAGGAACCACACACGTGCATCGCAATGGGAGGGAGTACGTCCCAGGATTGACCTTCAGCATCCTAAGGAGATGATGGGGAAAGGAAATAAACATCCTTGTTGGGAGTCTTAAGTCATTCACTCAGTGTCGATTCTGTCCTTCAGGAGAAGTTTAAAACCCAGCATTCTGAAGGCTACCGGCAGATCTCAGCCTTGGAGGATGACCTCGCCCAGACAAAAGCCATTAAGGATAAACTGCAGAAGTACATCAGAGAGCTGGAGCAAGCCAACGATGACCTGGAAAGAGCCAAACGGTGTGTGGGGAAGGGGAAAGGAGGTCTGGGCTCCTTTCGTCTCTGGGCACCAGACACTGTGCCGAGGGCAGGGGGTTCAGCAGAGAGCGGAGCCGGGGCCCTGGGCTCTACACCCTCGTGGGAAGTGGACAGCAGGCAGAAGTGCTGCAGGTCCAGGGCGCTGTGGGTGCATGTGATCCGAGACATTCATTTGTCCGTTGCTGGGAGGATGCTGGGCAAGGCTTCTCAAAGGAAATGCCCTTTAGGCTAAGACCGAGGGATGCCTCAGCATTATCCAGGGGAAGAGCACTGGGTGAGAACATTCTGGGCGGAAGGACAAGCGTGTGCTCAGTTGGCCCTGAGATAAGACGGTATTTCTTTCTTTGTTTTTTAATCTTTACAATATTGTGCTGGCTTCCACCACAGAATAACTCAGCCATAATTATATATATATTTATATATATATATATACTCCCCCTCTCCCCTCCCCCATCCCACCCCTCTAGGTCATCACAGAGGGCCAGGCTGTGCTATATATATAGCAACTGCTCACCAGCTATCCATCTTACACCTGAAGGTGTATATGTGTTGATGCCACTTTCTCCATTCGTCTCACTCTCTCCCTCCCCCACTGTGTCCCCAAGTCCATTCTCTAATCTGCGTCTCCATTCCTTCCCTGCAAATAGGTTTATCAATACCATTTTCTAGATTCCATATGTATGCGTTAATATGCAATATTTGTTTTTCTCTTTCTGACTTATTTCACTCTGTATAAGAGGCTCTAGGTTCATCCACCTCATTAGAACTGACTCAAATTTGTTCTTTTTTATGGCTGAGTAATATTCCATTTTACGTATGTACCACATCTTCTTTATCCGTTCATCTGCTGATGGACATCTGCGGTGCTTTCAGTGATAAGACAGTATTTCTTAAACCAATGTTCTATAGTTTAGCAGACTACTAACAATAATAAATAACAGTAATTGAATAACTACTGTGAGCCAGGTGCTTTTTTTTTTTTTTAAGAAAGTACGTTAAAAAATTTAGATGTAAATTACAGCAACATGCATCAATCATAAGGAGTGTACGGTTCCATCAACTTGGACAATTTTTCAGTCCAAACTGAACTGAATGCTCAGCTTTTCAGTCTAGTTAGTTAACTGTGTACCAAATGTAACAGTCTCTAAACCTTAGCGTTTCACTTACTGCCCTCAAACTTTATGCTATAGCTTTAATGCATGAAAGTAAGAGATTAAAAAGATAGCCTTTTGTATTTACCCATATGTTTATGGTTTCTGGTTCATTCCTTCCTGGTTTCCCTCTGGTTATCATTTGCCTTCAGCTTGAAGAACTTCCCTTAGGATTTCTTGTGGTGCAGGTTTGCTAATGGTGAATTCTCCTCTCTGTAGTTTTTCTGGAAATGTCTTTCTTTTGCCTTCATTGGTAAAGGAAATTTTTGCTGGATATGGAATTCAGGTTGATAGGGTTTTGTTTTCTTTTCTTTTCTTTCAGCACATTAAAGATGTTCTGGTGTCTTCTGAACTCCTTACTGGGGGTTAGAAGCTAGTGGTAACCCAAATAGTCACTCCCCTGTTTATAACCTAGTGTTTTTCTCTGGCTGCTCTCAAGAGTTTCACTTTATTTTTGGTTTTTAGCAGTTTGATTGTGATGTTCCTAGGTTTTGTATGTGTTTTTCCTGATAGGGGGTTGCTGGGCTTCTTTGGTTTTTATCTTTTGCCAAGTTTAACTTTGGTCATTATTTCCTCAAGTGTTTTTGCTGCCCCTTTCTTCCTCTCCTGTCCTTCTGGAACACCAGCAACACACATGTTGATCCTTTTGATATTGTCACACAGTTCCCTGATGCTCTGTTCATATCTTTTCCTAATTTTATTTTTATTGGTTCCTCAAATTTGATTATTTCTGTTGATCTGGTTTCAGGTCCACTGACTGCTTCTTCCCTCCTCCAGTTCTGGTGGGAAGTCAGTTCCAGTACTGTTTTATTTTAGGTACTTTATCTTCAGATCTAAAATTTCCTATTGCTTTATTGAGATTTCTTTCTTCACATCCTTGAGCATAGTTTTAATAGCTTCTTTAAGATCCTTTCCTGCTAATTATAACATCTGGGTTACCTCAGGGTTGATTTCCTGTAATCACCTTTCTCTTGAGTTTTGGGTCACATTTTCTTGCTCTTCATTTGTCTAGTCATTTTGGATTACATTCTGGACATTATGAATAATGTGTTACAGAAGCTATGGATTCTGTTATGTTTTTGTTTGTTTGTTTATTAAGTATGCTGAACTCACACTCCAAACTCTGTCTCCCCTTGATGGGAAATAGCTGAAATCTGATTCTTTTAATTAGGCTGCTTCATGTCTGCATGGTTTGGATCAGTCAGAGATTGGGGAAGAGTTTATATGCAGAACTGGGGACTCCCCCAAGGTGGTGGATTTTTATCACCCAAGCCACAGACACAAAGCTTATAAAGATACAGGATTCAGTCACTTCTGTTCCTTCCATGTGTTGGCTTCCTTCCAGCTTTTGCCAGGGCTATCAGATCATTGTTTTTCTTCTTTTATCCAGTGTTTGTAGTTGTAATCTCTAGGATATTTGGATTGATACAAGCTACCTTAGTGTTAGCAGAAGTGGAACCTTTTTAAAAAAAAAAAATTAGTTTGTAAAAGTTCTATATGTATTTTTGCTACTGATCTTTTGTCCTGTCTTAAAAACATATTTTGCAGAATAAACTTTTGTCTGTTGACTTTGTGGTATGATTTTCCATAAATATTTTTCTTTCTTAGGTCATCAGTTATGTCTCCTTTTATTGCTTCTAGATTTCCAGGCTTCACTGTGGAGACCCCCTTGATTGTTTTTATTTATTTTCGGTTGCACTGGGTCTTCACTGTGCATAGGTTTCCTCTGTTTGCAGCAAGTGATTGGGGGACTGAGGGAAGCTACTCTCCTTGCAGTGCGCAAGCTTCTCATTGTGATGGCTTCTCTTGTGGAGCACGGGCTCTAGGCACGCAGGCCCAGTAGTTGCGATGCACGGGCTTAGTTGCTCCCCAACATGCGGAATCTTCCCAGACCAGGAATCGAACCTGTGTCCCCTTCATTGGCAGGTGGATTCTTATCCATTGTACCACCCGGGAAGTCCATTGATCATTTGATTATGTGTGTATTCTCTTTAATTTTTTTGAAAGTTTTTTTTTTTAATTAATTGTTTTAACTTATGCTTTTAATCCACCTGGCATTTATTTTTGTATCTAGTATAAATGTGTGTCCTATTTTATTTTCATTAGGTAGATAGCCACTTGTGCCAGTACTTTGTGTTAAACACTTCATCTTTTTTCCTCTGAATTGAGCACATCTCTGTCACATGTTAACCTTTCATTCAGTTGTCCCTTGGTATCCAGGGGGGAATTGGTTCCAGGACCCTTGAGGATACCAGACTTTGTGGATACTCAAATCCCTTAAATGAAATAGTATAGTATTTGCATATAACTTATGTGTAGCCTTCCATATACTTTAAATTATGTCTAGGTTAATTATAATACCTAATACAACCCAAGACTGCTGACTCAGCAATAAAGAATCTCCCTGCAGTGCAGGAAATGTGGGAGACACAGGTTTTACCCCTGGATCGGGAAGATTCCTTGAACGAGGAAATGGCAAGCCACTGCAGTGTTCTTCCTTGGAAAATCCCATGGACAGAGGAGCCTGGCAGGCTACAGTCCGTGGGGTTGCAAAGAGTTGGACATGACTGAGCGATTAAACACAGCAATACAGTCAATCAAAAGCTCCATAAACAGTTGTTGGTGAGTGGCAAATTCAAGTTTTCCTTTTTGGAACATTCTGGATTTTGGTTTTTTTTTAAACAATTTTTGATTTGCAGTTTGTTGGATCCAAGGATGTGGCACCCACAGGTATGGAGAGCTGAGTATATTCTGGAGTCTAATGCAGGATTCTTTTCTCTTCTGACCCAGTGTGTAATTTGTGAATTACAGCCAACACCGTAATGACTAGACAGTAAAGAATCTGCCTGCAATGTGGGAAACCTGGGTTCGATCCCTGGGTTGGGAAGATCCCCTGGAGAAGGAAATAGCAACCCTCTCCAGTATTCTTGCCTGGAGAATTCCATGGACAGAGGAGCCTGGCAGGCTATAGTCGCATGGGGTCGCAAAGAGTTGGATGCAACTGAGTGACTAACACTTCCACTTTCCATAATGACTTGGTTACTGTGGCCTTTATAGTATGTTCTGATTTCTGGCAAGCCCCTGGCATGCGACCATTTCCACTCATTGATGAAAACAAGTCACACGGCCAAGCCACATTAAGGGCTGGGAAAGTACATTCCACCCACAGAGAGGCTGAAGCAAGGGTGTGGATAGAGGGAGGGTGAAGAATTGGGGGCCATCATGCAGCCTGTCACAAAGAGAGTGCATTCACGTGATTCAGAAATACCATACAGAGGGCTAGCATTCTGAAATTCAAATTCAAGCAAATAAAAACAGAAATTTGTATTATTCACCCCACTCCCTCCTTTCTTTTTCCACAAAAGAGCATTCTGTACCCACTATTGTACATATTGTACTAGTGCCTTGTCACATAATAGATCTTGGAGGTCTTTCTGTGATAGGACACAGAGCATTCTTTGTTGTTGGTGGTTTCTTCCCAAGCGCATACTATTTTATTGTATGGTTGGTATTGTATGATACATAATAATTTATTTATCTATCCCCCTGTGGATGGATATTTGCTGCATTTCCATTCTTTTGCGGTGATAAGCGTTGCTATAGTGAATGATACTTGTTGCTTGCACAGATGCATATATGTAGAGTAAATTTCCAGAAGTGGAATTCCCGGGTCAGAGGATATATGCGTGTAATTTAGATAGTTTTGACCTGGTTGTGCTCTGTCGTGGTACCAGTTCACATCCCAACACCCGTGTAAGTCTGTTTTCCAACTGGCTTCACTAACGGCATTTTTCAAGCTTTGGATTTCTGCTAGTGTAATAGGTGACAAAT